TAGCAAAGCTTACGATCGGCCAAATTTGAAAATCAAATGTAGACATGTCAAAAAAGAATGTGAATACTCAAAGTCCAAAAATTCAGAAGCATAAATTTCACGAGTAGGAAAAACCTTTTCAAGTTTTCTTCCAAAAAGAGATTTTTCAGAAAAAGGTTTTCACCCAGGAAAGGAAACAAATGTTTTATTTGTAGCAGAAAATGTTATTTTGCAAAAAATTGTTCCAGCAAAAGAAAAGACAAAATTCTCAACCAGAGTCTTTCTACGGGTCAAGTTGGTCTTGATGAGGAAGATTTGGAATCATTTTTTCAGAAAAAGAACAATAGTCACAAAAACTTTGCTCTTGAATATCATGATGATACTCAAAAGCAATGGCAGTAGTGAGAGTTGTGATGAAAGTATGCAAGAATGTTTTAGAATGCAGGTCATAAACCTTTCCTTGGTGGTACCAATGATAGAAATTAAGCTTTCCAAGTAATTATGGAAGACCTATTGCCGTTGCGGCTTTACTTGATACAGCAGCAACATCCTCAATTTTTAATCCAGCCATACTCCCAATAAATATGTGGAAATTCTACCAGAAGATTTTTCAAGCTACCTATAATTAATACTTTTCCACACAACTCAATAGTAAACCAGTGACCCTCCAATTCTTCCCTAAACTAAATATTTCCCACAAACTACTTTGATCGTCATAACCAAGAAAATATCTTGTATTGGTTTTGATGTTATCAAACAATTATGGGTAAGACAAGTCACACCTCTTTCAAATGGACTCAAATTCAAATCCAATTTTATTCCTTACATTGAACCAATCAAATATTTTACCCTCATAAACCAACCATAACAGAAATCCTTATAAGAGATTGTTTAGCAGAATCTCAAACAAAATTCCTTACCAAATGCATAAAGATTCTTTGGAAAAATTCAGACTTCTTTATAACATTACACTTTAAAAGAAATGAGAATGTCAATCCAACAAAAGCAGGTCACACAGGGATGAGTCCTGAACATTTGAAGCTTGCAACAAAAGAATTGACTCAATTACAGTCAGAAGGGCTCATAGAACCCACTACATCAAAATGGGCGTGCCAAGCATTCAATGTTAACAAAAGAAGTGGGCAAATTAGAGGAAAATTAAGATTGTCATTGATTATAAGCCGTTGAATCATTTTCTTGCAGATGATAAGTTTTCTCTCCCAAACTAGAAAACAATGTTTGCAAACCTCGTAAAAGCAAAAATCTTTTCTAAATTTGATCTGAAAGTGGGGTCCTAGCAACTGGGGGTCAAACCAGAAGAAAGACACAGGACAAAAATTCTATATAGCCAATCAACATTTTTCAGTAGGCGATTATGCCTTTCGATTTTAAAACGACATGTTCCTTATTTCAAAAGGCAATGGTGAAAATCTTTCAGCCACTACTAAAAACAACATTAATTTACATTGATGATATCTTGTTATTCTCTAAGAATAAGGTTATTCATGAATTACTGCTCCAAAGGTTCACAGAAATTGTTACAGAATATGGGATAATGTTGTCATAGAAAAAGATGATGATCGTTTCTGAAATTGATTTTCTTGAAATGTATATCAAAAATGGTTGTTATTTACTTCAACCACACATTTCTTAGGAGCTCCTCAAATTTCCTAATGAAAATTTGACGAAACAGCAAGTCCAACAGTTTCTTGGTGTGGTAAACTACATGAATGACTTCTTCAAACAGTTGGCCCTTGATATACGACTTTTACAGGAAATGCTAAGGAAAAATCCTCCGCAATGGTCATCCAAGCAAACTCAGGCCATCAAAAGGATCAAACAAGAAGTTCATAATCTTCCAGCACTAAAAATTCCCACCGATGGAAAGAGAATTTTACAAATAGATGCAAGTGATCTATACTGGGGAGCAGTGCTTCTAAAAGAAAAGAGTGGTGAGAGAAGAATTTGTGACTATAAGAATAACATGTTCAAAGAATCAGAGAAACATTACCATTTTTCGTTCAAAGAAATTCTTGCTGTAAAACAGGGTATTGAAAAATTCAAGTTTCACCTCATTGATCACAAATTTCTGGTAAAAATGGACATGAAGGCATTTCCTCACGTGCTGAATTTCAAAAAGAAGCAGATTCCAAATTCATAGCTTTTGAGATGGACGGAATGGTTTTCCAACTTTGACATTGAGGTCAAACATATAAAATGAAAACACAAATTTCTTCCTGATTTACTCTTAAAACAAAACCTTCTATCCAACCACCAATCCCTACCATCTGCAGGATGAATTCCTCTCACAAAATCCTCCCATCCAAAACTTCCCTTTTGAACTTCAAACTCTCATAAAAAACAAAACCATTCACTCAATATCAAAGGAACTCGTGCTAAAATATCTTTATATTTTTATTAGGCAAAATTGGATCCATCTTTTCGGTAGACTTTGCTTTCACCTAGAATATCAATTTTTAAATCTCTTTTCTTTTAATCCAAGATAAATTAAAGAAATATTTTCAATAGAAATTTTGTGTTTTCTATGGTATCTTCTTGAGATACATCAAATTGCAATATGTTTTAATGCTGATATCATGATTTTATGGCTTTCAGATTGAACTTCACAACTCTTGAAAGATTAACCATGATTCATTTCTCACTCAAACGATAAGTTGTAAGAGTTTTTGAATGGTTTTATCCTCTCTCACACTGGAGAGAAAATTTTGGAAATTTTTATTTAAAATTCAAAGATCTTAGAACTTCGTCCGCTAATGTCCATGTAATAGTTGTGTTCCAAAGATTTTATTTTACTGAATCAGGGCATTATGAACATCTCTCTCATGTTCAAGAATATGCGGTATAGCCGTTCAACCTCCACAAAGAATGGGAAATATATCCTCAAAAATTCAGAACATTCTAGAGAAAGATGACAAAAATTAATCAAACAATCCCTCCAGAAATTTGGCCTAAGATTGAAGACAATGCTCCATGGGAAACTCTTCCAATGGAATATGCGCAAAGGATCCAATGAGACATTCAAGCTCAATGGAACGGTGCTTTATCTTGTCAAATTATTTTATGAGGAAATTGCAAAAAAAGTCCACTTTTACATTATCATTTACAAAAATGTCTCAAATTTGTCCATTTTGCTAAAATTTAGACCAAAATGCCATTTGTTATAATTTCAAATTCCTCCAGAAAGGGGAAAAAAAATCATATGAATTAAACATTGTATTGAGAAAGAAAATATTGAACATTAGTGCAATTTATATCACATTTTCCCTTTCTATCGAAATTTGTGGAGAGCCAAATCAACTTGCAATTTTATTTTTTTTCTCAAAATGAGTTTATGTGATTTTCAATTTTTGTTAGCGCACATATTTTTCACAATGCAATAATGCTAAATCATGTTTGGCATCGTCTTTCCTTTTTACCTAATCTTCAATTGGTTGTTACCTACTATATAATGCTAGAAATGGAATTAATGGGTAATAACTTGCACATCATGTTAGCTTCTCATGGAAAGCAACTTTATTGCCTTCAGGACCATGCGAGGATAGTGTCTCGGTCAAATAAAAAATTTGATTGTTTTGTTTTTCCTTCGGTAAGAGTATAATGGACATTTTTATAAATTTTCATTAGTCCTTATTTGAAAATCATGTTTTTGAGAAAAGAAAATGAGTTCTGATTTTTAGGAGAATATGTGGTTAAAAAGTCAGCAAAATTTTTGAATTTACGTGTATAATATTTTGTTATGTGAATGTATAGTTAAAAATGAGAATAGAAAAAAGTTTGAGAGGCGTTGATTGTCAAAAAGGCTTATCTTATTTTTGTGCTCATGAGTAATGTGGATATTATTCAAAACTAGGAATAGGAAGGCACTTTATGGGTTGCTCAGGTCCTAAAGGCCTAAATATCTATAATATATTAAAGTATCACATTGAAGGGGTGGAATCATTTTCTGGATGATTTTAATCATCCTGCAATTCAATTATTTCAATAATACTTTACTTTTCGTTTTTTAATATGTAATAAATACTACATAATTATTGTCGTTTATGAAATTGGTGTTATTAATTCTCAATTAATTAACATTAACATTAATCTAGATTTAATGAATTCTCACTTAGCCCGTGTTTGATTCTCATTCTTTGAAAAAAAAAAATACATTTTTAAACAATATTTTAACAACATTACAACCACAAATTCTCCAATAAAATAATATTACACTTAAATTAAAAATATTTTTCTATTTTTAATCACATATTTTTCATCAATTACTATTCAAAATGTCATTCTTATCAAAACAAAATGGGGCTCAAAAAAGGGCTTAATGAATCTTGAATTATATGAATTTAAAGTTATTATAGATGAATTTATTTATATTCATGTATCTAGAAATTTTAATGGGTGTTTAAATTTATGTATTAGCAATTAATTTTTATGTATCAAATATAATATAAAAAGATTGTTCATTTATAGTATTTCATCATTACAAAAAAATTTAAATCATAGAAATTATGCTTTGAGAGTACAATTTGGGCACAATTTTCTTATATTAAATTTCTATGCTAATTTTTTTTTTTTTTTAATTCGTTCAAGACCTATCAAATCCTCTAATGAACTAGTAACAAACATTACTTTTACATCACTTATAGAGTTGCACGTTTAACTTTGACTAGTACATTCATGTTGCTCCTTTCTTCTATAATATGTTTGACCTTTGCGTACCCATCTAGTCAATTTAGCATAGCTTCAAATCATATTAATTAATTCTTACAACTACCTAACCTAATTAATTTTTGAAGAGATGTAGGATCAAATGATCAATGCCCATAAATTTTTAACCTTACCTAACTTGATTCATCAAGTTGAGCTTGATTCCACTTGACTCGATTAGGAAGTTCAGATTTAATTTTTCTGCTATAAAAATACATTATATAACTTTTTTTTATATTTTTTATTCTCCAAAGAATGATTATTCCAATTTCCAATCATATTTGCTTAATAATAATAGATAAAGAAAGAAAGAATTATTGAATTATAAAGAATTTATAATCATGGAATATAATACATTGGGTTTGGAAGCTTAAATGAACGGTCAGTGATTGAGGAACCCAGTAAATCACTCCATTGATCTCCAGAGTTGCCCAGTATCCTATACCCTTCTTCAATCATCTCATTCCTCTTCTGTGACTTGTATACAAGTGCTGTTTTCTTGAGATCCTCTGAGGACCTGCACAATAGTAGTAACCTATTTGATAAACTGAGAAAAACTCAAAAAAGTCACAATCTTCTTTCGTTTCAAATACAATGTACTTGAGATTTCATCTAGAGAAATTGTCTTACTCGATATTATACAACAACTTTAACAGAAGAACTATTACTCCGAGAATATGCAAAAACAATAGTGAAAGAAAAAGTTGGCGACAAAGTGGAAACATCTTCTAAGCTTTAGTATACTTCAATGACGACTGCGTATAAGTATCATATGTGAGGAATGGTGAAAAGAAGCCGATTAAAAAGTAGAAAGTATATTTTCAGTCTCTAAGTTGATTTTGAACGAAAAGAAAAGTAAATTGTTAAGAAAGTAAAAAAGTCAAGAAATTTCGAAAAATACACTTCAAAAGATTTGTCTTTTCACTATCGTTTCACCTATGGCAACTCTTAACACAACCACCAAGCTTTAAGATGCAACCCTCTTCTAATCTCACCTGCCAATGAAATATTTCTCTTTTTCGTCAACAATCGATCCAAATTCTATTGTGAAATTAATCCAATGCTTGTTCAAGTTTTTTATTTTTCTCATCAAATAAAGGCTTCTTGTGTCATCACACTACTCATTTGTGGAAGTAAAATGAGTTGTGAAGCTAGCATGACCTACGCCTATATAGACTATTGTCCAAAGATATTTCTGAATTAGCTTAGAGTCGATGTTGGAGTTGATCTTTCTTTTTTTTTTTTTTTTTTTTTTTTTTTTTTTTTACACAAGGTGTCCGGGCTTGCGTCCGACTAGATCCTTGTCCCTGAACCTCCGGCCCCTCAGCAGCTCAGGGAGGTAAATCGCAGGATGTGCCCTTGTTGGCTCCCAGGTTCCCACAACTCATTTGGACTCTTTCCGCAAAGAAAGCTTTCCTCACTGGGCGTTTGTTCACACTCCCTCTCCATATGGCTCCCAGTGTTAACTCCAGGAATCGAACTCTCCACCCTTGCTTCCAGCGTCCCAACGAAGTGATTGTTCCACCAACTCGGATGTGCCCTGGGGGGCGATGTTAGAGTTGATCTGTACAGACGTAAACTTGGCCTTGCACTTCACACCTCAGGTGGAAGTTACAGAAGATATTATCAGATAAGTTCATGCACAATATCATTAATCTAGATCCTCAAGGGCATAAAGCTGTTGACATATCCATATAGAAACGAAATGCACTCTCTTTAATTATTCAATAAACAAGTTACTTATCTTTTTCAAAGAAAGAGAAGACTAGAGCATAGGCTATTTAGTGTCACCTAATTGCAATCACAGCCATCTCACCAATAAAAAACAAACGGTTATGATTTAGAACCTATATGCTAGCATCATAATCACGTAATTGGAAACTCACATGTATACAGTATCCTAAATGGGATTTCACCGTTGATGATGACATTTGAATATGAGTCACAACCTCAGTTATTACCCGTGTAGCGTCTAATTTAATACACTCCTACAATCGATCTAGTTGTGTTTAAATCCGATGTTTAAGAGACAGATGATGAAAATGCTATAAAAAATATTTCAACAAAGTTTCAGCACATGATCTGTAAATTGTGCGAGGAGTTCAAGTATGTTGCTGGAATTACAAGTGCAAGACAAAACTTTTGGAGTCAAGAGACCCCAATAAACTTGTTTTTCTCCAGAAAGTGGGATCATTCATCTGACATTCAAGGCGTTGTGGTGGAGTACGAGAATGGAAAAAAAAAAAAAAAAAAAAAAAAAAAAAAAAAGAAGAACATTTAAATAATTTGGATGATGAATCTTTGATCAAGGTGAATTTGGACTAAAAAAACAAACACCCGTGCGAACCATATGACAACTCGACAAAAAAAGAGATGCATATGCCACATTTTTCCCAGACCGGGAACCTAAAAGCTAAGAAGAACGAAAGGAGACTATGAGCAAAACTTGATAAAATAATTGCCGTCACCCATAATTGATATCAATTTCAGGACATCAGTAACTATAAATTCAATTTTATCAAGGGCCCTGATCAATCATCTCCCTCAATATTTCTGTTCACTATCAAATTCAATCTATCTCAATGTACCAAATTAGCCTTTCTACGACGCTTGGAAAAATGAGGACTATTAGAACTCCGTCATATAATGAATTGCCTTACAGTTTCATGAACAAGCATCCATATTTACCCTCCAACTGGGACGAGCAAGGCCTGGGTGGCTCAGCCCATTTGACATCCCCTAGGTAGTTGTAGTCCTTCTGGTATCAACGTGGGAAGCTCAAGGGGCTAGCTAAATGCGGCTACAGGCACCCAAGATTTCGGGGTGTTGCTAGATGCATTACATAGTTAATCCCAAATGAAATGAATTATAGCCAAAGGATAAAACATGTTCATATTTTAGCATAAGTTGGCACAAATGGCTTCTAAATATTTGCTTCTGCATAATCAAATTATTACCTGAATATGTTACCTTTAAATAAAGGCTCATATGCAAATGTGCAATGCACAACAAATTATGGGGCTCATTAATTTTTTCATTCCAATATGGACAATAGCATACAACTTAGACTTCAAAAATAGGAAGAGTTTCTGAATTAAAAGAACTCCAAAAGAATTTTTTTTTAAAACAGCATCATAAGAAGATATAAAACATAAAAGATCCTACAGAAACATTTCGCTCAGCAGTAGAGTTTAATTGTCTGAGTTGTTGAATGCCTTTCATATGTATTTCAATGTTCATGTCAGTATTCCACTATTTCTTTGTTTCTTGTCTCAGTTCAGCACTCACTATGAAATTATGTTATGACAAATTATTTTGTTAAACTTATCTCATTTTCAGCTTTCTACAACTTATACAAAAACACATGCATTTTCACAATATATTAAGAATTACTATCAGTTTATTCTTTGAAATGAACCAGAGCTTGTTCTTTGAGTAAAAATGAAGCAAACGACATGTGCCAAAAGGTGTATTCAAACAATTTTAATACTCACCTCAATATAAGCTTATCCCAATCATGAAATCCAACCTTGATCAAATTATAAGTGGTAATATTTCTATGCCTTTCACTTCTACCTGTCAGCAAGGTGACTTTGAATCCCAAGCTTAAAACCTCTTCATATAGCTTAAAACTGGACTTTATAGCAGGCGCGATTCCCTTCTCAACCCATTCGTCAAACTTCAAACTATCAAAAATCTCCAATCTACAGATTACCGAGAAAATCACATAAGATTAGACACTGCATCAAATTTAAGTGCTAAATTAATTTACCAAATTGAATCAAATATTGAACAAAGCCCAAGAATAATGCCATTTACTCAAATCCCAAAAAACTATTTTCTTAAAATACCCATTAGTCAAATTCGTGCTATTCAAATGAAATTTCCAGAATAGTTCATAGAAAGTGAACCAAAATTTGCACAAAGTCCAGAGAATTACTACAGTTACCTAAAATTCATAATATAATTCCAAACAAAATCCTAATGAAATGCAAGAGAAAGTAATCAGAAAACAGATCAAAAATCAAACAAAGTTGAATTAAAATTGCCATAGATAAAGCCTGACAACCAGATTTCTATGCAATTTTGATCGAATTTGATTAGTAGGAAAAATGTATCATCAAAACTTGAATAAAAGAACCATACCCATAACCATGTTCAGCATAATAAGGAAGATTGGATAGAAGGGTTTCATCCACATCAAAAATCCAAACATCTTTCCCATCTCCCCTCAACTCCACACTTCTTGCATAAACTCCAGCCTCATTGGAGACCCTGTCAAGATCAAATTGATAACCCCTTCCAGTCATGTAATCCTTCACATAATTAACGCATTCTTCTGGAATTCTCCTCCATGGGCTTAAATTATTGGCCTCCACAGCAAATCTCCAACTTGTACACTGCAATTGAACCTCTTCTATAAGACATTCTTTCAACTGGATTTCGCTATTTTCTGCGTATTCAGTGATCGAAGTCTTCAGAAAGATTTTAGAATTGAAGGTTTCTTGAGAAAAGGCAAAGGAAAAAAGGGACAAGAAAATGACAATGTCGTTGAAGAAACTCATTGTGAACAAGAAATATGCTTTCAATTCCGAGAATCAATGAATATGCGATCGTATGATGTTATACTTTCTATTGTCAAGGAAAACGACATAAAATGAAGGAATGTTCATAAATTCTTGGTGGGTCTCTACCTTTCCAATAAATGTTGTAAAGGGCGTGATGCTTTTCTTGATCTAGGCAGAAATCCCCCTTGAAACGTTAATCCTTCATGTTTATGTTTTGCACGAATTTGCAAAACGTGTTAGGGAAGTAATAGAATTAGTGAGGGTATTATAAAATATAATTTTTTTTTATGTACACGTTATGCATGCGTGCGTTAATTATTCTTCATCATTTAAGAAAATCAATAAAGTTGTGGCTTTTGAGTTTTGCTGAGTTTATGCCCAAGTAGATAGTCTCTTTTGAAACGCAGCTAAGTTCGTTAGGTAACATTATTATTATTATTATTATTATTTTCTTTTATTATTATTATTTTTTTAATTTTTTGTAGTGATGAGAAAGATAGGTCGGGAAGAAACAGTGCTTTTCCAAGCGATGTTATAATAATTGTAATGGAATTGCCTTGGCAAATTACAACATGAAGAGTGCGTTTAAATGTTAATATTTTACATGAAAAATGTGTTTTTTCCACCTAAATTTCTATTTTTGTGTTGTTTGATTGATTTTTTCATGAAAAATATTTTCCTACTTTTGATCTCTCAAAATCAAGAAAAATATTTTTTATGGGGAAGTATGATTTTATTTTTCAAGAAATTCACTCTCTCTTTCTCTCTCTCATCTATCCACTCCCTCTCATCTACCAACCAATAAGAAGGGATAAATATAATATTTTTTAGGTTGAAAATTAAATTAATTAAATGCATTTAATTGATAATTTCCATGTAAATAAGTTCTAGGCAATTTATTTTCTTTTTATGCAAATTTCATTCTTACAATCAAATGCACCCGAAGTGTTTGTAGAAGTGCAAGTACGTCGTTGAAATATTCTGCATGCAAATAAACTTGACATTTTGTTATTTAGAAGTGTGTAATAGCTTAGATGGTAGTATGTGACGATCTCCATCAATACGAGACATTTTGACGTGTAGTTAAAGATATAGTTTTTGGATTTTTTTCGCTTTGTTGAGAACTTCCATCATTTCACTCTAGAGTCCAATACTCAATTTTTTAACGTAGTGGACCCATGACTTGCTCTACAGTCCAACATCAAGGCACTACTAACTATTTATCAATGGGTTAGGTGGAACTGTGACTTATTATCTTCCTCATTCGATTTGTGGATCATTGATGTTGGTAGACTAATTTGTCCCTCTTCTAACTTGCGCACAAGCTAATGTCATAGCTAGGCGCTTTGTTTAACATATTTCCTAATTCACATTTGATAGAAACGTATTTCATATGAGTCAAGAGGTAAAGAGTTGAAATAGATCAACTCTGATCAAGACAAGCTTATTCTCCATGAACTTTATCCATCGATAAAAATTTTGATGTACATACCTTTCATCTCTTAGAAATAATAGCATCGGACCAACTTAGATCATGCATTCAAAGGCTAAATTAACATCATACACTGATTTAACACCATTTCTAATCGTGAAAATCTATAAAGAGGATCGAATAGTGTCTTTAATTGCTTAATAGTAGGATTATAGATGTAGTAGTTGAATTTCCCATCTCGTACATTGAATCTGCAATAAAAAGTAAAGGACTCTGCTTGATGTCCAGGGCCCATGCTGTATATCTTTATTGAAAAGTATTCATTAAGGGGTTGTTTGAGCCCCATTTTCCTCAAAAAATACATTTTGAAATAGTGTTATTATGGAGAATGTGTGGTTAAAAAATAGGAAAATTTCATTTTGCAAATTTCATTCTTGCAATCAAATGCACCCAAAGTGTTTGTAGAAGTGCAAGTACGTCGTTGAAATTTTCTGCATGCAAATAAACTTGACATTTTGTTATTTTAGAAGTGTGTAATAGCTTAGATGGTAGTATGTGACGATCCCATCAATACGAGACATTTTGACGTGTAGTTGCACCAAGGGGCTAGAGAACGAATTACAAATGTAGTTGAAAGAAAATTAGAAGATGAAGAATATAAAACAGATGTAGGAAGGCTCAAACACGATATCAGATCGTTGTCTTCAAACGAATTTTGCCTCCACTAAAAAAGATTATGGTGCTTAAAAGGTCATCCGACAAAAGGTTTGAAGGATTGATCAAGCCTTGTAGAGATTCAAACACTAAGCACTTGTTTGATTCTCTAAGAACTCAAAAACACAATGGAAAAGGAATATGGAAGAAGATGATCTTTTTTTCTTTCTTCTATCTTGTTTGATCTTATAAACATGTAATTTATAAGTGTTTTTCATACTATTTTGATGATCAAAAACCATCTATTTATAGCCATGCAACATAGCTTCACGAAGTGGTGCCAAAATTAAGTAAAAGGCTGCCAAAAAACCACCAAAATCAACTCCAACGGTCACTGAACTTATACCATGCGACCGCATGGTGTAAATCCATGCGGTCGCATGGTTAGTTAGAACCGAGGCTAATGGCCTCGGTTGGTTGCCATGCGACCGCATGGCTAAAAGTCATGTGGTCGTATGGTCCTGAACAACCATCACAATCTCCCACTTATTCAAAAACAATAATGTTCCATATTCAAATTATACGATACTCATGCATAAGGATTAGATATCTTTCAATTTGAATCTAATCATAGTGTAATTCAAACAAAGTAAAATCGAAATTCAAGATAGCATGAAACTTTGAACCGAGTTTTTCATGTGACAATACCGGTAAGAACACACACACGAATATCACATGTTCTCAAGTTCCTCACTACTCACTTAGCGCTTTTATAGCCTTGCGCTTATCCTTTTCAAAAAACTTTTAAAAGAGATACTCCAACTCTCTATTAAGGCGGCACCACCTTGAAGTTTGTTTAGATAAAAGTTCTTCCAGTACCTTTGTTACTTTTAGAGGTACTTGTATTTTAGCACTGAACTTTTATTAAGAGTTTAAGGCTCAACCCTCATTTCAGTAACAACCAGCATTATTTTATCTAGGATATGATTATTGTGGATTTGAATAATGCTGCAACTATCCACATATCAAATAACTTGTTATTACCCTTTGAACCCATGTATTACCTTTTGAGTAACGACGGATAGGGTTACCTCATTGGTGGATATTTTAATTAAGGAGTTTCAATCTCATTCTACTCGAAGTAGATGCTACTAAATCTCTATTTAGAGGTTTAGTCAAAGGATCCGCCAAATTTCAATTGACCTTATATAATTTAGAGAAACTATTCCATCTTTGATTAATTTCCTTATGTAGTCATGTCTTAGATTCATATGTCTAGACTTTCCATTATATACCTCATTGTATGCCTTTGCTAATATGGCATATTGAAAAGATATTCTTCAATCCCAAAGGTATCTCATAGAAAAGATCCTTAAGCTACTCAACTTCCTTTCCTGTATCTGATAGGGCTACAAATTTTGATTCCATGGTCGAGTGTGTTATGCATGTTTGTTTCTTTGACTTCCAAGAAACAGCACCTACTCCTAGAGTGAACACCCAACCCAAGGTGGATTTACTTTCATTTGTGCTAGATATCCAACTAGCATCGGTAAATCCTTCTAATACCGCTGGGAATTTAGTATATTGTAGACCTAATTTCTTGGTTTTCTTTAGGTATCCAAGAACTCTCCCAATAACTTTCCAGTGATAATTGCTTTTATTGCTAGTAGACCTACTAAGTTTACTTATTACATAAGCTATATCCGGTCTTGTGCATTGAACTACATACATAAGACTTCCAATGATGCTTGTATATTCCAATTGAACAATCGCTCTTCCATCATTTTTTACTATTTTTGAACTTGGATCAATATGGGTACTATACTCCTTTGAGTTCAAGTGTTTGAACTTGTTTATCATATTCTCGATATAATGTGACTGACTTAGGTGATAACCCCCACTAGTTTTTAAGACTTTAATACCCAACATAGTATCCACTTGTCCAAAATCCTTCATTTTGAAGGTGGAAGATAGAAACCTCTTCGTTTCTTCTATATTGTCCATGTGATTACTTATAATCAACATGTCATCAACATATAAGCATATAAATGTCATGTAATTATCACATATTCTAGAATATTAATATCTATCTACACTATTATGTTTAAACCCAAATGATATTATTGTTAGGTCAAATTTTTCATGCCATTTCTTAGGTGCCTGCTTTAAACTATATAGCGATTTAACTAACCTGCATACCTTATCTTCATTTCCAGGTAGAACAAACCTTTTGGGTTGTTCCATATAGACCTCCTCATCGAGATCCTCGTTTAAAAATGTCTTCTTGACATCCATTTGATCAACATGCAAGTCATATATCGAAGCTAATGCAAATAATATCCTAATTGTTGTTATTTTTGCTACTGGTGCGCATAAGTGTCAAAATAGTCGATTGCTTCCTTTTGTCGGTAGCCTTTGGCTATTAATCTAGCCTCGAAAGTATTTAGAGAACCATCAACATTATATTTTCTCCTAAATACCCATTTACATCCAATAGGTTTGGATCCGGGTGATAGATCGACAAGTTCCCAAGTTTTATTAGACAACATCAAATCCATTTCATCTTTAATTGCATCTTTCCAAAAGATGCTATCATGAGAAGTCATAGCTTCTTTATAAGTTTTAGGGTCGATTTCTACTTGTAGAACAAAAGAAATTGTTCTTACTACATTCAACTCATATCCTTCTACTAAGTAAAAGGAGATAAGTTGATAATCAATTTCATTCGGTCCCAAAGACTTCTCAACTCGAGTTCTCTTACTTCTTCGTAGTTCATTAGACTCATTAATATCTTTATAAGACATTTCATCCTGTGTTCAACTTGAGCTAAGGATATTTTCTTAATTTTTCCTTAATTCATTACCCGAAGATAACGAATCTTCAAAGAACTTTACATCACTTGATTCGATGATCATATTGGTCTCCAAATTTAGCAATCTAGAAGATTTGCTATTGTTAACATATCCAACAAAAACACATTTGATGCCTCTTGGACCTAATTTGGTTCTAATAGGGTTCGTGTTCTTGCAATACGTAAGACACCCCCACACTTTGAAATATTCAATGTTTGGTTTCCTTCCTTTCTACAATTCATAAGGAGAAACCTTTATATGTTTTGAAGAAATTCTATTAAGTATCCTACATGTACTTAATAAAGCTTCACCTCACAAGTTAAATGGCAACTTAGCATATATAAGCATGACATTAATCATTTCTACTAATGTTCTATTCTTTCTGTCAACCAAACCATTTTGTTCGGGTGTCCAAGGTGCTGAGCATTGGTAAATTATGTCATGTTGTTCACAAAACAAAAGGAGAAACCTTTATATGTTTTGAAGAAATTCTATTAAGTATCCTACATGTACTTAATAAAGCTTCACCTCACAAGTTAAATGGCAACTTAGCATATATAAGCATGACATTAATCATTTCTACTAATGTTTTATTCTTTCTGTCAACCAAACCATTTTGTTCGGGTGTCCAAGGTGCTGAGCATTGGTAAATTATGTCATGTTGTTCACAAAACAAGTTAAAATTACTAGAAAAGTATTCACCACCTTTATTACTTCTTAAAGTTTTTATATCTTTCCTAGATGATTTTCAACTTCACTTTTATAAATCTTAAACATATTAAAAGCTTCATGTTTATGTTTCATTAAATATGCGTAGGTATATCTAGAAAAATCACCAATAAAAGTAATGAAATATCTATTTCCTCCTCTAGTTAACACGCTATTTAATTCACATATATCCAAATGAATTAATTCCAAAATACTAGAGGTTCTTTTTACACTTTGATATGGCTTTTTAAACATTTTTTATTCTATACATGTTTTGCATTTATAAACATTATTTTCATCATATGAAATCAAATCACACTTTTCCATACGTTTCATAATGTTTTTACCAATATGTCCTAATCTAGCATGCCATAATGAAAATAATTCAACAACATAAGCAAAATTAGATTTATTTATTTCATTGTCAACGGTACATAATTTGACCATTTCATCACAAGAATAGCATTTTCCAACAAAATTCCCTTTAAGGGATAATACAAGTTTACCAGATTCACACACACATTTGATGCCCCATTTTTCTAAGAGATTTCCACTAACCAAGTTCCTATTCATTTCTGGAACATGTAGTACATTAGTAAAGCTAACGGTTTTCCCGAAAGTGAAGATAATATCAATATTTCCCTTGCCAATTACTTTGGACTGAACTTCGTTGCCCATTTGAATCTCTTGATCTCCATCTACTTCTTGATAAGTTTTAAATAAAGATTTATCATATGATCCATGCACTGTAGCACAAGTATTATACCACCACCCGAGAACATTTCCCTTGATTGCATTTATTTCGCTTACGGTCCACAATCTTTTCTTCTTGAATGAAGTTTATTTTACCTTTGGAGTTGTTTCTTTTTCGGTGTCTACAATCATTTGTGTAGTGTCCAGATTTACCACACACAAAGCATCCTCCTTTGGTCTTCTTCTTGGACTTGTTAAAGTTCCTTGAAGGCTTCCTTTTGTTAGACTTTGTAGGCGGTTCAGATTTCTCAACGGCATTGGATTTAGAAGTTCCTTCCGAAGAATTTTCACCTCTATCACGCAATCTGGATTCTTCTTCAATCCGAAGATGTTTTTGTAATTGTTCCAAAGAATAATCTTCGGAACTATGAATTATTTTCTTCCGGTATCCTTTTCAAGCCCCCGGGAGTTTAGCAATTATAGCCCCCACTTGAAAGGTCTACGAAATTTCAATCTTTACCGCTTTTAATTTGTTGACAATAACTTGTAACTCATGTACTTGGGGAAGAAGGGGAATATTATCTAAAAATTTAAAATCAATGTACTTTGAAATTAAAAATTTCTTAGTACCTTCTTCTTCCGCTTTATACTTACTCTTCAAAGCATTCCAAATTTCCTTTGTTAACATAGTATTTGTGTATAAACCATATAGATGATCTGATAGCGCATTCAAAATGTGACCGCGGCAAATTAATCATCTTCTTGCCTTTTTTGTCTTTCAGCCTTAACTGCTTCGATTTCTCCATTTGTGGGTTCCGGTAGAGGCGTCAACTGGAGATCTAAGATGTAGAAGATCTTCAATGCAGTAAGAAGAAACTTCAATTTGTCTTGCCAACGCGTGAAATTTGTGCCATTGAACTGATCCAACCACACCAAGTCTTGATTCATAAGTTTTATGGTTGTCATTGTGGTTTCGTTCTCCATAGCAACTTGAAAATTCGTTTGAGATTGTTAGAAATAGTTTCTCCACCAAGGGGTTAGAGAACGAATTACAAATGTAGATTGAAAGAAAATTAGAAGATGAAGAATATAAAACAAATGTAGGAAGGCTCAAACACGATATGGGATCGTTGTCCTCAAACGAATTTTGCCCCCCACTAGAAAAGATTATGATGCTTAAAGGGTCATCCGGCAAAAGGTTTGAAGGATTGATCAAGTCTTGTAGAGATTCAAACACTAGGCACTTGTTTGATTCTCTAAGAACTCAAGAATACAATGGAAAATGAATATGGAAGAAGATGGTTTTTTTTCTTTCTTCTTTCTTGTTTGATCTTATAAACATGTAATTTATAAGTGTTTTTCATACTATTTTGATGATCGAAAACCACCTATTTGTAGCCATGCAACATAACTTCACGAAGTGGTGCCAAAATTAAGTGAAAGGCTGCCAAAAAATCACCCAAACCGACTCCAACAGTCACTAAACTTATACCATGCGACCGCATGGTGTAAATCTATGCGGTCGCATGGTTAGTTAGAACCAAGGCCATTTGGCCTCGGTTGGTTAAAAGCCATGCGGTCGCATGGTTTTGAACAACCATCTGAAGATGTAGTTTCTGGATTTTTTCAATTTTTTCGCTTTGTTGAAAACTTCCATCATTTCACTCTAGAGTCCAATACTCAATTTTTTCATGTAGTGGAGCCATGACTTGCTCTAGAGTCCAACATCAAGGCACTACTAACTATTTATCAATGGGTTAGGTGGAACCATGACTTATCATCTTCCTCATTCGATTTGTGGATCTTTGATGTTGGTCGACCAATTTGTCCCTCTTCTAACTTATGCACAAGCTAATGTCATAGCTAGGCGCTTTGTTTAACATATTTCCTAATTCACATTTGACAAAAACATATTTCATATGAGTCAAGAGGTAAAGAGTTGAAATAGATCAACTTTGATCAAGTCAACCTTATCCTCCATGAACTTTATCCATCAGTAAAAATTTTGATGCACAGTCCTTTCATCTCTTAGAAATAATAGCATCGGATCAACTTAGATCATGCATTCGTAGGCTAAATTAACATCATACACTGATTTAACACCATTTCTAATTGTGAAAATCTATAAAGAGGATCATATAGTGTCTTTAATTGCTTAATAGTAGGATTATAGATGTAGTAGTTGCATTTCCCATCTCGTACATTGAATCTGCAATAAAAAGTAAAGGACTCTGCTTGATATCCAGGAAAATCTATAAAGAGGATCAAATAGTGTCTTTAATTGCTTAATAGTAGGATTATAGATGTAGTAGTTGCATTTCCCATCTCGTACATTGAATCTGCTATAAAAAGTAAAGGACTCTGCTTGATGTCCAGGCCCATGCTGTATATCTTTATTGAAAAGTATTCATTAATGACCTAACCAATTATTATTATTATTATCATAAGGTGGATAAAATCATATGCAGGTAGAATCAATGTTAAAAAATAGGCCAGAGATTAATGTGGAAAAATTACGATTTTCATGATGACAAAAAAAAAAAATTCATCTGTAATCAGAGGATTCCAATTTTTGGATACAAATTTGAATTTAAATAGTGAGTTACTAGTAATCGTAATGAGATTTCACTTAAAAAATCATAGTTCGACACAAATAGAGAGGAAGAGAGTAAGAGCTCAAATTTCGAGAAAGTTGATGCTTCGATTGATTAATCATTTTCAATGGACAACAATATTCTACACGAACTGAATGTAATTTCGCCAATATTTTGACAACGAATATCACTGAAGCAATAATTAAATATGGTACTTACGCTCTTCGTTAAAAATCCATTTACGATATACCCAAAACGTGTATTTCTAGAAATACCGTTACTACCCATTGAAAATCATTCCAAACTTTTTCGATTTCGGCATCTTATATCAATAGAAGGTGGTGCATAGAATCAAATTCTAACAAATTATATTAGAGCTTGATTTTTGTTTATTTTTTTATATATTTTTATTGCCTATTAGATGTAGGAATTCTATTTTACATCTTAGTAAGAACGATGTTAGAATTATTTCATTATATGTTGTTATTGGATGAATGATACTTATTATGGAGCAAAATTTATGGCCTTAAATTATTTTTGCAGTGATTCTATATTCTTTTATTGAGCCATGTAATAAAGGGGGTGAATTATAACCCAAAAAATTTCCCTTTGATTTCAATTTTCATTGCAACAATATTAATTATTGAAAATTGTAAAGTGGATGAATCTTCATCACCTCCAAAAATCCAGAGGTCAAAGGTATAATTTCGCTGAGAATTATTAATTGGATCAAACTTGTGTAAGTGTTATACTCTAAATTTAATCAACTTTGAAAGTAAATATTTTTAATATACAATTGATGCAATTTTATGCCACATTTATTATTTAAATAATATTAAATTAAATTAAATAATAGAATCCATAAATTCAAATCCTAGTAATTTGTTAATTACAAAAATTTTGTAATTATGAGATACAAATTACATATGACTAATCTTAAATCATTCATGGTTATAAGTAATAACGAAATATAATATCGTTATTATGTATGGACCATCACATGTGACATTTCTTATTCGTAAGTAAGTAGCTGATCTCACAAGTTAAAATGTGGTAACACTTCGGTAAACATATGGATGTTCTATTATACAACAAAACATTGGAGATCTGCTGGAAAGATTCCACATTGATAGTTATTCGAGTTTTAATGATTAATCTCTAATATTCGACAGTGGAATTGGTTCTTTGACTTGAGATCATCATAGCGCCCTATACGAGGATAGTCATACTTTGATAGTGTGAGATGTTGCTCTACCAAGGATCGCTAATACAACATCGTTCGGGTATGTCAAGAATAATTTGAATATTGTGAATGATCAATAGATGATTCGTCACTCTTAAATGGTAAGATATTATAATTTACATTTTATCTAGTTAAGCTAAAACTAAATCTTTGGATAATGTGTATTCATAAGTTGAAAAGAAGTTTTTGACTTACATTGACTTAGTAGTGAGATGAAAGATAATCAATAATCGAGATTGACACATTTTCATATATCGTAATTGATCGGATCATATTGACGAAGAAATTATAGCTTCACAGTAAATAAACATGTTTGATTTTGTCATATCACGTGACATTTTTCGTGACATGTATTGCGCACGTTGCTAGATGTCAATCTGGAACGATAGGTGTGAATTGACGATAAATTAAAATATGATATTTTAATTTATCGATTTTGATTAGATCAAAATAATAACTCAAGTCGTTAGGTATCGTGATTAAGAACCTAATATGTCACACACAAAAGGAAAACTAGAAAAATGAGATTTATCAATTAATTAATTAACCAGTGTTAGATAATTAATTAATTTGTTAATTAATAATTAATTGGATTATTTATTAATATGCTCGAATGAGTTAATTGGATCAATTAATCAATAGACCAAATTTTATTAATTAAATATTGGACCGGATTAAATTAATAGACAGGTCAAGTCCACTTGGACTTCTATTAATTGGTTGTTAGGGTTTGGAAAAATCGGTAGAAAATATAATTCATATTATTGCTAGCATGAGAAAAGTAAAAAATCATAGTTATCTCAATCTTGTTCCATGTGTGGATTTTCATTGAATACTGGACAGTTGAATAGCTGTGAATTGTAGATCATGATTGTTCATGTTCAAGATCAGCAAATGAGTTTGTAGAATCTATGAAAAGGTATAACTCCTAACACAGTTTCTATCTAATCACAAAACAGATCATTGGTGAGAATTGAAATTATTTTATTTTTCCCTGTGCAAGATTAAGTAAATTTTCGACAACTTGATCATCTTCAAAATATGAAGGATTTGGGCTAAAATTTCAATAGGAGACAGTTGTTCCTTTGGTGGCACTGTGCCAACAACGGCGAGGTACAACAACACCCTCTTTAGTTGATGTTCGAAAGAGCATCATTGGGTAGAAGGTGTTGCTGTAGCCCCTGCCTCTAGTAGCATGTAATGACACTCAATGTACTCGTTGCAAGCAAGATGTACTACAACATTAGTCCATGGGGCATGTGCAAGCGAACACTATCACCGTTGTAGTGGACGACTATTGCAACGATAACAGTGCCTCAAAAGGACTACAAATATGATTGAACCTAAGAATTTGAGTGAGTTAGGGTTGTCATTGACAGTTGAGCCGCAATAATAAGATTGTTTATTATTATTGAATTAAATAATATTTAAAAAAAATTCAAGTAACATATAAATGTACTAAAACGTAAAAATTATATACATATAAAAATATAATCCCATACAGTTGGTTGAGAGCAGTGATTGTAACAATGAGTGGTAAGTTAAGAAAAAGAAAGGATTTGGAGTTGGAGAGAAAGTGAGAGAGAATTGGCTAGAGTGGCAAGCGATTTTGCCATTGATTCAAAACTTTTTTGGTAGAACTAAAAAGTCAATTAAAATCAATTTTTTGACTGTTATTTCACTATTACAATCGTCATTTTTAAATTCTTCCCTCATAAATAGGACTCACTTTATCTCTAACGATAAAAAAATCAATTATCAAAATTCTTACCAAACAAACACCTCAAATCGCTAGCTCGGTGCAGACAAGCACACATGGCCACTTGAGTGATCATCAAGCGGTCACCCAATATATACGCTCTCTTTTTTCGATGAAGCCAACACAACGGTGTTGTTTTGGCTCTTCGAGCACTAGCTTCATCCCTGACTACAATGGCTGCTTTTAGGCTTCGAGGCGATGACGACGGGTTGGAGTTTTTAGGTTTCTTGGTAAGATAACTTATTCACTCATGGAGGCTGAAAGAATTATGCTATAGAGTAAATTTTGGATTTTAATTTTTTTATACTTTATAAAATTTACCATAAAAAAAACCTTTTTCATACTAAAAAGAGTGCTATTCATAGTCAACTATTACAGTATTCATAATATATGTCATCTTACGTGGCTTAGCATTATCAAAAGTTATTCATTTTTTTTTAAATTACGTTAGGTAAGATGTCATGTAGGATAACTATTGCAGTAGTTGACTATAAATAGTATTATTGTAATAAAAAAGATTTTTAACTCATTTGGTCATTTCAATTCAAGTCTAAAATTTATCCATTTCTAAAAACCTAGATCTAATTTCTCATTTGATTATATATAATTGTTGTATTACATAAATAACAAAAATTTAACTTTCTCAATAGAGGGAATTATTAAACTTTTCTTTTTTACTTTTCTTTTAATTTATTACATATATAGACCAGATTTTTAAGGGATTTAAAATCAAAATTTTTAGTATATTTTGATAAAAGTTAATGAAATATATGTATCCCCATTTTCGGAAAGAAAAAAATTATTCAACAATGTTTTGACATCATTTCAATCACACATTTTTCAATAAAATAATATTACACGTAAATTAAAAACTTTCCTTATTTTTTTAACTACACATTTCCCATCAATATACAATTCAAAAATGCATTTTTCTACCAAAATGGGGGCTCAAACAAGGGCATAGTTGAAAAATTAAGAATATATAATTAAAATTAATTATTGAGTTAATTTAATTTAAAATCTGAATTTTAATTCTTATCAAATAGGGGAATATATTTTTTAATTTTGGGTTTAAAATGAAAATTTATTGGGAATTTTTAGAAAATATTAATGACGTAAAAAAGGTGAAAAGAGGAGTTCATTCGGGGTATTTTCGTAATTTAGTAAACTAACCGCATGTTTGGATACGCTTAAAAGTATCTTATTCGGTTCTTACAGCATAGAACCCACAAAAAAGCTATTTATAATCACAGCCAAACAGCCCTTTTTTCCAGTTTTCACTTTACCTAAAACCCTAGTCTCTTCGTCAGCACAAAAACCTCAACTTCGTCTGCCTCTCTTCACGAAAAACTGAGAGATATAGAGATGGGAAGCGATAGCGAGACAGAGAAAAGTGCCCATAAAGAGAGAGAGAGGAAGAAGTTTCTGGCTCTTGCACCCATCGCTAAACCCCTCGCCGGCAAAAAACTCTGCAAACGCACCCTTAAACTTGTTCGCAGAGGTTGTATTTACATGTATAAATTATTGGATGTTTATATCTCTAAGTGGGTTGTTCTTTTTTATCTTATTTGTTTTATGGGTTTTTTGGATTTCAGCTGCCGAGCATAAATGCTTGAAGAGAGGCGTTAAGGAAGTGGTCAAAAGTATTCGCCGAGGAAACAAAGGGTATGTCGGTTTTCATATCTTGTTTATGAATCTTTTTATACATACATTGGTTTCTTTAGTATTTAATAAATTGTTGTTGGGATGCTAGTTTTATTGTAGTTCGAGTGATCCTTCATTTCTTTTTTCTTGATCTGAAACTTATTAAGTTCGCATTATATTAATTTGGGATGAGTTTAGAGAATGAAAAAGATGCAAATTTCAAATTCTTTATCACCGAATTGACAAAAATGCTGTACACCAAGACTGCTTTTGTTTGATGGGCGATCTAAAAGAAGAATTTTTTATTGATGTTTGAATGGTAAATTATATCTTTCCAATTTATGATGTAGCCAATTACCTTCTGGGGTCTCTTGTGTGGGTTTGGGTGAAAAGGGAAATATGAATATGCTTGTCTTGATTATAGAATTTGGTTTTGACCTAGCTGTGCATTCAACTGATGTACAGTGTAGCTTATTTTGAACATCCTGCTTTATATTGAATTTGTGGAATCTGGATTTGATGTACTTGTATACTTTATGATGATGACAGATTATGTGTCATAGCTGGGAACATATCACCGATAGATGTTATCACTCATGTTCCAATCTTATGTGAAGAAGCTGACATTCCTTATATCTACGTTCCCTCGAAAGAAGTAAGCATGTTTTCTTCACTCCCTCGCATTAAAATTTGTTCATTGTCGTATCCTTGGATACTCTTTAGGTGAACCTCAACCCCTCACCCACTGGGGCCGCAGGGTCCCGGGGGGGGGGGGGGGGGGGGGGGAGGGTTTTTTTTTTTCTTGAATTGATATAAATGATAAAAAGTTGGAAATGGAGACTGTTTATAGTTCTCCTTTCTCTTGGATTTGAAGAATCGAATTTCAATGATTGTAAAGGTTATCTTTGACAATTTTGTTTTTGTTTGCCTCTTTGACTATATTCGAAATTTTTTTACTTTTTACTATTGGCTTACTTGCTTGATAGTAATGACATATTGTATGGTAGAATGTGCCCAAATTTTGTTTTTGTTTGCCTCTTTGACTATATTTGAAATTTTTTTACTTTTTTCTATTGGCTTGCTTGATAGTAATGACATATTGTATGGTGGAATGCCCATGTTATGAATATATTTTATGTTCTATTCCACGTTGAATGGATTCATTCTCACTGGTTTTAGTTCCTATGCATGTGAAGAATGATATGGCTTAGAAGTGGGAAACATAAAATTATATTTTCTTTTCTATTGCACATAGAGTGGATTGATTCTGAGTGACCTTAATTCCAGTGCACATGAAGAATGCTATGGCTTCTGAGTAGGAAAATAAACATAGGTTTCCTATTTTTTCTCTGTTCATTGAACTAGACTGATAATGTTACAAGGCACTGTGCTAAAATTTGAGCATGCTCCGGTTGCTAATGGCTATGGTCTACAATTTTACCTTTCTAGATATCCATACCTTACATAGAAATTGTTTCAAATATACAGCTCATGTGCATGCTTATGCACACATATTTATAAATAGGACCAAATGCTCCCTCTCTCTTGCTGATAAGAGTGTTGTAATTCTTGTGGATGTTTGGTAGTATGTGAGATTGATTAAAATTATTGCACGAAAATTCATATATATTTATGAGTATTTGAACTTGAAAGCTTATGCTCGTGTCATATTGACTTCATTTTTTTTAAAATTCACATCTTATGTTAGGTTTGAGACCTGGAACTTGTACTTACTCATTATCCCTGTTATTTGATAAAAATGGATTTTGGAATAGTGAATTTTTGGAAAATGTGTGGTTGAAAAGTAGGAAAAAATTTTAGGTTTGCTTGTGTTATTATTTTATTGAAGAAAATATGTAGTTGAGAGTTTGAAGAAAATGTATTAATGGAAATGGCGCTCAAGCAAGTGCTAGTATTGAAATTAGGCCAAGTGTAGATCCATTCCAATGGAATTAAATAAATTGATCAAATTTGAAAACAAGTTACTTATGTTAATAGTATAGAGTTACTATCAAATTAACTGTTTTCTATTCCAAACATGTTTGAAAGCAAAGTCACTTAAATGTAACCCCAGACGTTCTCTAATACTGAACTAGAGAAGAAAAGTTGGACACTTATAAGGTGACTACCTGCCTGTTTCAGGATCTTGCTAATGCGGGAGCCACCAAGAGACCAACATGCTGTGTTTTGGTGCTAACCAAGCCCACCAAGGGGGAAATTGCCCAGGATGAACAAGAAAAGTTGAAGGGAGATTACGATCAGGTTGCATCAGAAGTATCTGAACTAGCTAATTCTATGTTTTAATGAGCTAGATATTATAATGAAGTTTGTACTCTTTATTTCAGATTATAAACATCTTATTACTTACCATTTGTGGGTTTCTGTGAAGTTGCTCAATGGATTTGTAAAACAGAATTTCGGAACTTTTTATCTTCTTAGGTCTCATCTAGAAAGATTTTTCTGCGTGACCACAATTTTATGGTGGAAACATTATAGTTTGCTGGAGGCTATATTGTGCACTGCCATTACAGAAGGGCAAACTAGGGAAAAGGTCGAGTGGAAGACATGAACCAAAATGAAAAAAGAAAAAAAAAAAAAAAGATCTCAAATAATTGCTTCTTTGTTTGACAGTTTTGAGGAAAAAAATATAGATTGTTCTGTGGAGCTCGTGTAAAATTCCATTCTCATTGAATCATGATGCCAAACTCAATAGTGATAATTAGAATTGACTAATTTCATTTCAAAAGGTTGAGAATTTTAGAGTCACCATTCTTGAAGAGTTATCTTTTACCAAAATAGAGTTGACTAATTCCAAGTGAGAGGATTGAAAGACTTGATGACCTTTTCATGCTATTGTGAATTACAAAAAGGAAAAAGCTCTTTGCACTGGCCTCTTTGTACAGGGCCCTATAGGGACTCTCAAATAGGGATGAACCTCGCATGTGGACCCCATGTGTGTGTACTTGTACATGCCCTGTGCAAAGGAGCCTGTGCAGGTAGCATAGTTCTTATAAATACAACAAAGTTATTTGTACAAATGAATTGCATAGGAACCTTTATAGATGATGATATGGTAGCATTGTAACGATTCGGTTAACGGTGTGTTTTTTTGTTAAAGATGGTGTGAGATCTTGCCATTTGTAATTTTTGTAAATCAAATAGTACATCAGGTAGTATGTATATAACATTTCTCTTATGAAAATTATGTTAAAATCGGATTCAATTGTCAAATGCTAGCAACGGGAAACAATATTTCACAGGAAAAAAAAGGGGGAGGGGGGGGGGGGCGGAATTCAGGACAGGAAGAATCAACACATGGCTGAGAGTATTCCATGCGCTAAATGATTTGTTTGTTGCTCTTGTTCCTCATTGAAGGCCTAGCTGTAAGGATACGAACATATCCATGGCATTGAATCATTGAACCACGGATGCATTTTTATATTTGGACGTTAATATAGGATGATCACCAAAAGGGACTCTTTTTCTTCTGGTGTGGGTTAAAGGGACACACATTTTCATAGGGATGTTTCTGCTTCCTGATCGTAACTTCTACTGAGGTGAAATATATCATTAAATTTTACTGTGCAATGATTCAATTCGAAATTTTCACTCGATTATATGTATACAATCTTCTAGTAGATTTAGTACGAATGGAAAAATGAAAATGAATTCATATATTTGAGTTCAAATTTATTGTTACTGTTCAGTGGCCTAGGAAGTTGGATAGGAAGGGGAAAAAACTTTTATACTCGATACTCGCGAGGCACTCTCCTAAATGAGGCAGAAATTGGGTACATGCAACCGGGAGATTAGCACAGGGTACGGGGACCATGATCCTTGTCGCATTTGAAATTCATTTCAAAATATAAGTTCTTTATCACACAAAAAGATAAAAAAAATAAAAAATCATCATTTCTAAAAAAAAATAATTTGTTTTACAACTTGAAACAAAGTAATGATTTTCACCAACTAAAAATATTATAAAAAATAAAAAAATAAAAAATAGAAGCACGCTAGGTGTACAACATTCTTTACACTTACTTTGATAGTCCTCTCACATTAATGAGTGAGTCCCACAATTAAAATAATCGTGGGACCCACTCATGTGAGTCGACTGTTAAAACAAGTATTTGACATTTCTGCTAAAAATAGTTGGGACAGTAAATGGAGCTGAGGATTTGGTCCTGGCCAACCTTAATTGGGTATGAAGGAAGGACAGGACGACAAAATTACTCGATAGATGGCAGACTAGAATGTCTATTCTGACACGTTACCTTGCCATCCTGGGGGTTAAGCTAATTTTTTCGCACATTTAAATATGAAAAAAGAAATTTATATATTAACTTAGTCGAAAAAATTGTAACCCTTGTCCGTCCATGCTAATACTACAAGTAATAACTGGATTAGTGGAAATTGTGCCACCTACCTTATTTTTAATACATATTTAAAATTTACCTTTTAATCTTTTTTTCTCAATGAATACTGTAAAATCACAGTAAAAAGAAAACATGAGAAATTATCTAAATCAAAAGAATAATAATTTAGGTATCTTAATCTACTCCTATGAAAACGCCCTTACAAATATCCCTGTAGCACCCGGGAAAAAATATAATGCGTGTGTTTTAAAATCATGTCACCTTGGCCCCCGATGTGAATCGCTCGAGCCCCGCGTGATTGAAGATGATGAGGTGGGGATTGAAACCCGGGATTTAATCTTGTTGGAAGAATTTTGTGAATAGTGACGCCGAAATAAGTATAATGATGGTGACAAAGCCGATGCAAGAGTTAGACTCTTTGTCCTTAAGTCGAATTTGCCCCGCAACGGTGCCTACGGATTTCGGCAATCGACTCCCAAGATACAACGGCTACACTTGTGTTTGTAGCACTCCAAAACACAAGTACAACGAACCAAATGTAGGCTTATGTACTCCACAGATGAAATGAAAGAAAATCAAAATAAATGAAATGATTTTGATTTTGGATAGAAGAGAGGATGAGAGACGTTTTTGCATATCAAACTGTGAGGAATAGGACACTCAAAGGGTCCTATTTATAGACCATGAAGGGGTGTGGACGAAATGGTTGAGGCCAAACCATGCACCCTTTCCAAACAATGCATCTTTATGAAAAGGTGTCTATTCACTAATGGTTGAGATCTTTTTCATAATTTCTCATTCATCCGATATTGGTTTTCGAAATGCCAAATATACCCTTCAATACATGCAGAGAAATCAAAATTCTCTTTCGGGGGCGTTGCCCCCGACCCCCCACGAGGGGCGCTGCCCCCTCGACCATCGCGACTTGACCGGGCAGGTCGATCCCCGTTTGTGCGCCCCGAAGCGGCGAAGTGGCAAACAATTTTGCCTAAACGGATTGAGTCGAGCTTTTGAGTATTTGGCCGAAAAAGTCTCATCATTCACTACTAAAAAAATAAACACAATTTAAAGCAGAAAGAAAAAAAAAACGTGTGAGACTGAGAAGAGAGAGAGAGAGGAAGAGAGAGAAGAAAGAAAGAGAGAGAGAGAGAGAAAGGAAGAGAGAGAGAGAGAGAGAGAGAGAGAGAGAGAGAGAGTAGCGTTGGAAATCTAAAAGTTTGCATACATCATTGTCAATCAATACACTTTCAGCGGAGCAGAGGGCTTCAGAAAAGAATTTGAACACGAGCAATTATATTTCATTTTATTTAACAATGTAAGATACTTTTGTGCAAGTATTTTTGCCTCCTTACACTTTTATATTCAATTAAATATGCGTGGATTGTCAATGTACCTTCAGGTTTTATAAAAAGAGAGATGAAATCCTATGAGATTATAAAAGGATCTAAGATGGATTTGTCACTTGGTCACCGACATATTCCATAAGAGAAGTGTGGTGTGGAGTGTAGATTTTATTTATTATATAATTGTGCGTGGAAACTGCACATATCTTATTGGGTGTTTTCGAATACTCACTCTTATAAAATTTTACAGGTTAGTTCGATTCGATTGGAATTGTGGTGAATTGGTTATGCGAACTGCCAAGGGGATCCAAAGAAAAAAGGAAAATAAATATTTTGCTTTGCTTTTTTTTTTTTTTTTTTCTCTAAATTATTTGTCAGTTTTATTTGTTCAAAGACTTGTTTATTATTTTAAATTAATATTTATGGTTAAAAATAAAGATTTTTTTATTTGAGTCGTTCCGCAATTATTAAAAGAAAAATTAAGTTTTCCGTAACACTTCAGCTTTTATAAAAAAATTTGGAGCGTTACAATCCCCTTATGGGATTTATCTAGAAATCCCTAAAAACATTCATCTTCCTTCCAAACGAGAATCGTATTCATCCAAAAAATTCTTTCATCCACTCATCTTCATACAGATCTCACGCAAGATGTAATCAGTACTATTATCGCACAAATCAAAGTCTATTTTCTCTTTGCATTGATTAGGGACTTGTTACAATCATAAAAACCCTATATGAAGGAGTGTGCAACAACATATTCCCTTTGAATTCTTTCATTTTCTATTATAGTCCTTATTCGATGCTTATAAGTTTCAATTGATATTGGATTCGAAACTTGAAGGAAAGCCTATGCTTAAATCTGCGCACAAGCTCTCACTTTGTAGCCAATCGTTGCGAGGCCAGACTCCTAGAAACATGTCCAAAAAATGAGTGAGGTTTGAGAAATGGTGAATCAAGTTGTGGAGGCATCAAGAGGGACATGTGATCCTCAACAACCTCTAAGGAGTACTGCGTCAATGGCAACTTTTGAGGAAACCGAAACTGCTAAAGGCAAAAGGAGAGTCATGGATGTGAAAATTAGCGATAATGATTGGTTGGTTGGTTCTTAAGTGGTCAACAAAGCTCGTAAAGACCTGCTAATTTTCATTGTTTTCTTGATATATATCGGAGTGTTAGCTAGTATAGAGATTGCAATGGATGTTGGCAAGAAAAGCTTGTCCTATTATTATCTGTAAACATTACAAAATTTGGATTGTTAGAAATGATGATTGTGCTTATGTGAATTTAGATTTTAATGAAATTTTTTGTTTGGTATCAAGTAATGGCTGACGAGATTTTATTTATTTATTATTTTATTTTTGTGGAGATGATTTGGCTATGTAGAAAAAATGTAAGAACTTTTAGTAGAAAATTTTAGTCATTATTTTGCATACATCAGCTTCAGAAAACTAATTTGTCCAAATTTTGGATATTCTTGCTCAAATTTTCAATATAAACTTCCAATGAAACACTCCACCCCGACACCACCAGAGGCAGCCATGCCAGGCACTGCTTGTTTATTTCTTGGAAAGTATATGTTGCTTCGAAATTGAAATTTTTTGATGCAAATTCCATCATTTCTAGGTTCCGATTGAGTAAGGGAATACAGAAATATAGTCTGTACAAGCGATGAAAGCCATTGATATTCTCAACCCATTCTCAAATTTCTGAATTGATATTTTTTTTTTTGGAAGAGATAGTAAATTTGAAACGTGAAGTGTGCAATATTCGAAATATTTTAGTTACAAATTGTCATTTGGATTCTATTATTAGAAATTAGTAATTTTTAGTCTATTTCATATATAAAACAGTACATTTCATTGTAAAATATGAAATAATATTTTGTAACAATGCATATACAAATTTTTCCAAACAGGAATTTTTGGGTTGTCCAAAGTTCGGAGGCCGGGTATACCGGATCGGGTCACATTAGTTGTCACAGACCAATTTACATCATTAGAATGTGGGGTTAATTTCAGAAACGGTCACTGAACTTACCAAAAAATTACAAAACGGTCACTGAAATTTAAAACTTTTAGCAACGGTCACTGAACTTCCGGGCGGTTACACTAATGGTCACTTAAGTTTAAAAAATTTCACAAATGGTCACTGAAGTTACCAAAATGATTCTACTTCAAACTTATGGACCACAACACGTGACCAATAAATATTGAGGACCTCAGGGGCAAATTTTCGGCCAAAATGAATTTTTTAATAGTGCAAAACTGCCCTGGCTTTCTTCCAAATTCGTCCAACTCCATTGATGCCCATGTTAATCACACCACATAGATCGCTCAAGCTCATCTAGACGCATCTATCCATGTTCATTTAACAACAAACAACCAAGAAAATCAAAATATAGAGCATTTTTTGGAAATACTGAACTCGCGGCAAACTAATTCGTTTTTCGGCGACGGTGGTGGTTCCCATGATCGCGGACCACCCGTCCTAGAATCCTCTCTTCATGACGCACCTATTCCAGCCATGGGTTGTCACCAATTTGTGCGCAAAGTGGATGAACAGGTCGAACAGTTCATACGCAAGGCAGCTGGGTTTGTCCACCTTCAATTGAGGTTTCTACACCGTCCCAATCATCAAATTCGCCCTTAATATCTTCAATTCAGGTTTGCAATATGCTGGGTCATAAATCAATTGCACCAATCAACCATCAAATTGAGCCAATTTCTGGATTATTTGCACCAAGTCCGCTCGCGAGAAAATGAATTTCATCTATCAATTGGAGGCTCCAATGTGACCCAGTATGCAAATCAACTTGTGGGAAATGACATTTAGGTTCAAAAGACTCTGGGTAACAGTTCAATTGCAGAAATTATAGCTATAATATACCAAATTTTGGAATCAAAAGTCATCGGGTTTGGGGTTTTTTTGGTAAAAAATTTGCACCTGAGGTCCTCAAAATTCTTTGATCACGTGTTTTGGTCCTTAAGTTTGAAGTAGAATCATTTTGGTAACTTCAGTGACCATTTGTGAAATTTTTTAAACTTAAGTGACCATTAGTGTAACTGCCCGAAAGTTCAGTGACCATTGCTGAAAATTTTAAATTTCAGTGACCGTTTTGTAATTTTTTGGCAAGTTCAGTGACAGTTTCTGAAATTAACCCTTAGAATGTGAAAGGATTAATAAGTTGGTATTTTATAATGGAAAATAATTAACAATAATTATTCTTTAAATAAATTTTTAAAAAAATAAAAAATTATCCAACACTAACAGAGTAACAGCTAACCGACTTGGGGCCCACATGAAAACAGGATCCGGTTACCGTACGCGCCATACCTTAAATGCGAAGGTTTCGCGACACCACTCTCTCATTCTCCAAGACCGACACATCTTTCAATTCAGCTGCATTTATATTTAAAATAATATTAGCATTGCATTTAATTGTAACTGTAAATTTTTTTCCTAATTTATTGCTGAAGGCTAAGTTGGTGCGTTTAAATTTAATTGAGAATATGGAAGACGGCGGAAGAAGGAAAAACGGCGTCGTGTGTTCTTCGGAAACGGCGAATGGAGGCGAAGATGTGTATAGCTGTAAAGAATCCGATCAGTCGTCTGCTGATCATCTTGTTATCATGGTCCATGGAATTCTCGGAAGGTATTCTTTGTAAATAATTATGCAGTGGCGTGAATTAATTTAGGCTTTTCTTTGTTTTCAATATGAGAGAAAGATTGATACTTCGAAAGTTCTTCTGTAAGTATCCGTATATTAGCCGGTGGATAGCTTCTTTTGCCCTTTTGACTCTTGAATTCGGTCCCGGCAGCAATCTTCTTAATATGGTTTGAGTATTTTGATTCTAATCTTTAGCTTTTTTGTTCTATAAGAGGTGCTAGGTCTGTTTTGGGGATTTTGCTTATATTTAGACTCACAATTTGTTCTTGTCATGATAACATTACTGCAGTGCCTCGGATTGGAAGTTTGCTGCTGAGCAATTTGTCAATAAGCTCCCTGATAAAGTTTTTGCTTACTGTGAGTTGTAAATTCTCTGTGTAATTTATTTATTTATTTATTTATTTTTGCTTAAGTATTTCATATAGGAAAAGTCCTTATATACATTTAAATTTCTCCGGGTTTGATGCGACCCTCTTTCCAATGCTTCATATTGTGAAAGTGATTTTATTTTGTACTGATAAAAGGATTAAGAAGATCCCTTGTCCTTCTTTTCTTTCTTTCACAGTTGGTGGATTGGTACAAGTTTGAAGACCATCCGCCTTGAAATTTTGAGTTAGAAGAAAAAATTTCTGATAGTTTATATCAGCACATGATATCTCGCATGACAATAAAAGGTGGACAAAAATATCGAACATGAAATCAAGCAGGCAATCAAAGTTGGTGTCGGACTTCATATCGTATTTCATTAGATTTTTAATGAAACATCAAAATGGTAATGGAGAAAGATTGATAATAAAGGAATATTTACTTCATAATCCTAACTTATAAAAGCATCTTGGACAGCCAATCTCATGGATTGCAAAGGTTTCTGCTTTGACCTTGTTCTTGATATGATCTTAATTAGAAGTGATATGTTCGATCTCTGATTTGGAAATTTAATTTGAGCCACCAAGTAAAGAGTGAGTGCTGAATTTGCCAAAATTTTCGGTCTTTTAGTTTCGCATTCAGTTTTGTCACAACAGTTTAAGTACAGTTGAAGAATTGGTCTATGTTGTTCCATACTAAACAAAATGTGGCAGCTACATCATGAATTTTAATAGTCTGAAAATGATCCCCATTTAATGACTTACCTTTTGCTTCCAAACACTTTTATGTAATTCAAAAAAGAAAATAAAATGGATTTAGAACTTCATATTATTAGCATGCCAAGATGTACTCTTATATGCTATGTGATCTCTGGAATATCCCAAGACATTTTCTCGTCTCCTCCTCTTCTTCTTCTCCATTTTATTTTTATTTTTATTTTTTTTAAATTGCATAAAAGTGGCTTATATGTGATTACTTATTCATGTAGCATTATTTGGTTCCAGGTAGTGAACGAAATATGGCAAAGCTAACATTGGATGGTGTGGATGTAATGGGTGAGCGACTAGCTGAGGAGGTTTTTTTTCTTTTGGGCTAGCGAGCTCTTCTTTGCATTTTTGTTTGGTCTTAGCCTTATATTTGAAATGCAAGCAATGAAAAGAGATCTGTCTACCATTGTATAGGTACTAACATTGGCCTTCATTTTAGGTTCTAGATGTAATCAAAAGGAAGCCTGGCTTAAGGAAAATTTCATTCGTGGCACATTCTGTAGGGGGCCTTGTGGCAAGATATGCTATTGGGAGATTATACAGACCTCCAAAGGGGAAGAGTACAGAAGAGATGTCAGCCAATGCTTGTGAAGAAGGGTCGAAGGGTACAATAGCTGGTTTAGAACCAATGAACTTTATCACTGTTGCTACTCCTCATCTTGGTTCCTGGGGTAATAAGCAGGTATACCTTGCTTTTATTAATACTTTCTGTTTTTGGTGGTAGAATTTTGTTAGGTAGAATTTTGTTAGGTAGAATTTGAATGCTTGATGTGAACTTCAATGGCTGAGTAATAGTAACAAAATGTAATGTTAGTGTGGGGATATCCTTGAAGGGACCTGTTTTGTGAAACCTTGTTTATTGATATCTCAGGTGATAATTTAATTGGGGCTCTGGTTAAGCTTGTAATTCTTTGCTCTACTTGATATGACATTTATTGGAATTATCTCAGAAATTCAAATCTGGAACTGTTGTAGTGTTTATTTTGAGCTGAAGCCTTTTCAAATAAATATTCTATGAACTTGCAGCTGAAGGATTATCACCCTATCATAAAATAATCTCGATCAATCTCTAGAGCTTCTTCATAAACCACTAAACTTTTGCTGCTTCTGATAGAATAAAGTTATGGACTGTGCTTACATGCCTATTACAGTGCAACTCTGGCCTACTAGTTTTAAATGAGAGACTGACTCTGAGAATGAGAACAATTTGGTTGGAATACTAGTTTGTGTACCATTATCTTTCCAAGGTTTGATGAGGGAGTATGAGTGTAATCTTTAATGTGTGAAAGAAGAAAAGAAAAAAAGATTATGTTGGGATTATATTGTGTCCATGAAATTATTCTTTCGATTTGCATCCGCAAGTGTACAATTCGCAACAAGTAATAAAGTGGATTTTTAGAGTCCGAATATCGTCCTACAGAGATTGTTTAGTTCAATTGTATTTATCTCAGCCTTAACCGAATCCAAATGACCAATTATGAGTTTTTATCCTAAGAAATTAGAAATCTAAGCTAAAGTACCAATATTATGAATTGGATGTTATGACATGCAAAACAATGTTTAAATTAACTAAAATGTAATTTGATGTTTGTGACTCAGGTTAAATGTATTCAATAAATGTGAGATATACTAGGATCACGAATTCCCAAGAAATGTTCAATTAAACCTTAATTCCACATTTTGACAACACGATAACATTTTGAAGAATCAATACTCCTAAGTCTATCCAATAGTTCTTTCGAGATGAATTGAACCTATTCTCATACACCACCAGCCAATATTTATATGACGGATGCAAATATACGAGTGCATGTAGTTTTGTGAGTACTTAGAGATTCACGCAAAGTATAGGGGTATATTTTTATCCCCTATCGGATCCTACGATGATTTATATATTGTCGAATTTATTCCTCTTCTTTCGAATAGATAAAATAAACCACCAAAACTCACACAATTACGGGTCTATAATCATGGAAGCAATTAAATGCATATGAATTATTCAAAACAATCAATACGTGTTTTAATGTCAAAATACAGAACAAAGAATTAAATATCACATTACAAGGTTCATTGATCTCCTAGTACAGATTTTTCTAACCTAGCATGATGGGAAGAAGAACACAACAATAAAAATCAAGAAAAGACATCATCCTATTAAAATTTTTGAAGTGAGATCTTGAATTTTGGATTGAATCTTCTTGTTCTTCCTTCTTTCCTCTCTCAAAAAATCCTGCTGAATGTGTTATAATGCCCCATATCTGTTTTTGGACGTCCCTAGGGCTTTAAAAGACTCCCCAAGATTTGTTTTCATAAGAATTTCAATCAGAAAAGGAAATCAGAATTTCTCGTCGCGATTGGCCTAGGCGACCGGAGCAGTCGCTCAGGCCAAGAATTTCTTTTCAATAATTAAAAAATCATCTTGGGCGATCGCCAAGTATTTATAACTAGGCTGTCGCCCAGGCAAAATTTCTTCCATATGTTGCATTTTAGCCCTCGAAGTCGATTTTCGATTTTTTCAAGCCCTTTCTCTTGCATTTTCAACCCTTTGACTTTTAATTGCATTCAATTGAACCCGCAACATCTTTAATCTTCATTTTGTGGTCCGAATCAACTATTGAAATGTTGCAACTTAGTTCTCATATTTTGAATTTTCTTCCTTTTTTGTTCTTTTTCTTTTCTTTTCTCTTGAATTCACCACATTTATCAATATCGTCCCACAAAACATAATTACATAGAAAAAAGCCATAATTCAAACCCTTTGATCATAATTAAGTCATATTTGTGAACTAAATAAGTGTGTAAAAACACACTTATCAAACCCCCAAATTTGAACTATTGTTTGTCCTTAAACAAGATAGTGGCACAATACTAAACAAACATGGCTTAAAAACCCATCATGTCTTAGGATTGGACTAAGTATTTGACTTCAAAAAAAGAATATTTTTTTATTAGTGCAAAAATGAAATCAACTTTTACCTATTAATTGCATGCCCGACGTGCGTGTGTGAAATCATGCTACATATTTAGTTCATGATGGGGTTAGTCCCGACCCAGAGTGGTCAAATATGTCCTTACTTCGCTCGAGAGGTAGACAACCCCCCAAACTTATTCTTTTTACTCAGTTATCCAGGGTTGTATTTTAAAGTTAGGATTTTAGGTAACTGCAGTCCTTACCCTCTTTTAGTTTGGATAGATCTCACTATCACAAGTTTACATGTCAAACAAATGAAGGCTCTCCCAAATTTGATTGCTTCAACACTTAAAATTGAACTAAGTTACTAGGCTTACCTCAAAGGAATAGTTTCTTCATCCAAATGTCCAAGGGCCTCTTCATGTTATTTTTTTTTATATGCCTATTCTCATTTTTTTCTATATAACCCATGTAACAAGTTTTAGGCCGATGAGACCCAAACCAGTTGGCTTTAGGGCACAATGTTTTAAACCCTAGCAGACTTATTCACTCGAGTTATAAAGGTTCGATAAGATGACTTTTTATTAACTTCTTCCCTTCTTGCTTTCTATGTGACCCCTGTCGCTAGCTTTAGGCTCACGACTCCCAAACCAGTTGGCTTTAGGACACAATGTTTCAAAATACCCTTGCAGGCTTATTTGCTTGAGTCATAAAGGCTTGGAAAGAAGTGTCATGTTTACACAAGTTAATTTTTGTACCCCCTTTATTTTTCTAGACATTTAGCTTCCAAAGCCAACCCCAACTTAAGGCTTTCACCTAATCTTCATCTCATTGGTTTAGGTAATCCACACAATAAAAATTCATGTACGGAGCCTCCACTCATCTCAACGTTCCTCTAAAATTGTTCAACCATCTCCAAACTATTTTAAAAATGGCTTATGAGTCAATAAAATAGAGGTTTTTCCTACTTTGTTCAAGAACCCTATTACTAACCTAATATGTAGAGCATGAGCAAAGAATTGTCAAGTATTACATCAACAAATACTGGTTAATCAATTTCTGCATCATATCCACAATTTCTAATTATATTATTTCAATAGTCATATCATAGCCGACAAGGCTATCAAGCCCACACAAGCACACAAATTCATAAAAGAAATAGACAAAACTTGCTAATTTTTCAGTTATTTTCCTTTTTTTTCACTTGACAATCACTCAGAAAGAAAAGAAATTAAATACAGTTATTGATGAATATAAACAATGCGACGAAAAATGGAAACTAAAATTATGCCACCCTCAAACTTATTCATAACATTGCCCTCAATGTGGAAATGGAATAAAAGTTTAAACAGACATAATTGAAGGACAATAATAAACTAAAAGCGCAAGATAGGGTACGAGTACTCCCCTGATCTATATGGAGGTGGTGAATAAAAACTAGGACTCGCGGTGCTGTCTCCTTTTCCTGTGACGTTCTTTTTGGCGGCATCAAATCCCCCAAACTTGCTTCAAAGTGCCTGTGTACATTGTTGGCGAACAAGATGCATAAATTATGCCTCAATATAAAGTTCATATCACAATTACGTAAATCACCAACAAAACTTATTTCTAAATATGCACTTTGTTCAATTTGACCCATGACTGACTAAAATAGGACTTCAAACTCATGACTCGTGCTCAATGCATAGGGACTCATGTGGATTGTGCTTAGGCTATTTATTGACATGCATGGACGAATGATGACCTAAACTATAAACAATGCAAACACAAAATTGAAAGATTCCTAAACTAATGTAAAAAGCAAGATAACTTAAAAGGATATAGTGGGTTGTCTCCTACCTAGTGCTAATTTATAGTCGATAGCTCGCCTTGTGGCACGAACATTTCATGGCACTTTGAATATGGCTTGGGAGATCCTGCGTAGTTTGCTCAATATGGTCTTGTTCCGCACTGCAGTTATCCTTCGAATTTCATTCCTATCCTTCTCCAAGTGCTGTGATTTTCTCTCCTCATCAGTGTGAAATCCCACACTGAATGCCTTAATCTCCTTTGAATCGGTGAGAGTGGATGGAGAGCGCACTACACAAGCATTATGAACGTTTGACTGTTTCTTCAACTCAAAATTATAGGGGATTCCTATGTCAACCACTTCAATCCGGAAACAACTTTCAGGCTCGGTAGGGTATTTCATTACCTTGAAAGCATTAAAAGAAACTTGCTCCTGTCCTAGCCTCAGAGTTAATTGTCCTTGCTGCACATTTATGAGGGCTCTTGCAATAGCCAAAAATGATCGTCCCAATATGATATGCACATCCTTGTCTTCTTCCATGTCCAAAATCAAGGAGTCCTCTGGGAATATGAGTTTATCCACTTTGAACAATACATCTTTGATAATCCTCGTGGATGTGTAAGTGATCGATCAGCCAACTATAAAGTTATTGTAGTTACCTTAGGTTCTCCCAATCCTAGTTTCCTGAATATAGAGAGTGACATTAACTTAATACTTGCACCATGCTTTATTAAAATAAAAATTACCAATTGTGCAAGGGACAATGAAACTCTCTGGATCTTTCAATTTTGGTGGGAGCTTTTTTTGAATTCTGACGCTGCATTTCGCAGTTAGCATTACTGTCTTATGATCCTCCAACTTGCGTTTATTTGATAATATGTCCTTTAGAAACTTTGCTTAGCTGGGCATCTGGAATAGTGCACGACGAATGGAATATTTATGTGGAGCTTTTTGAAGATTGTTGCTCAAACTTATACTTCTTCAATTTCTGAGGGAATGGAATTGGAGGCTAGTATGGGTTGACTGTAGCTGTGGCCTTATCCCGTGATTTCTCTAAACTTTCCTTTGGAGTTGATGTCTTTGGTTGTTCATCCTACTCCACAGTTTCTTCTTTTACAGGAGGTATTGTCTCTTTGTTCTTAACTGACCTTTTGACATGTATATCAGGTAGTTGCACCCCACTTCGAGTTGTGATGGCCTTGGCATGCTCTTTTGGGTTAATTTCCGTGTTACTTGGCAATTTCCCCGTGCTCTTCCAGTCAAAGCAATGACCATCTGTCTCATTTGAGTTTCCAAGTTTTTGATGGCACCATTCTAGTTTTGAAGAGTGATCTCGGTTTTCTCCATGTACTGATTGGTCTTCTCCATGAATTTCCCGAATATATCTTCCAATTGAGGCTTCTTCTCTTACTGTTGAAACTGACCTTGCAGTCTATTCTGATTCTGGTTACTCCAAGAGAAATTGAGATGCTTCTTCCAACTGTTATTGTATGTTTTCCCTTATTGATTGTTCTGTTGGCGTTGTCCCCATTGTGCAAAATCTGCCTGCTCAACTCCTTGCATTAAAATTGGACAATCTAATATTTTATGCTCAGCTCCACATTCTTCACAGCTAATCTTCTTATTTTGTGCTGTTAGTGATATGCTTTCTACCTTGTGAAACAACGAGTCAATTTTCGCAGATATGTTTGAATAAGTGTCGACCTCATAAACACCCGGAGGTTTCTTTTGAGTCACCCGCTCAGATGTCCACATTGCTGAAGCAGTTGGCATTCTCTCAAATAATTCCAGTCCCTCATCAACTGTTTGTGTGGATATTGAGCCATCTGATGCTGAGTCCACCATGCTTTTGTGGTACGGAAGTAACCCTGTATAGAAAAATCGATTTTGGGTCCTTTTGTCATACCCATGTTGAGGGCACTTTCGGAGCATATTCTTGAATTTGTTCTAGGCTTGGTCAAATGATTTGGATTCTCTCTGGCTGAAAATGGATATTTTGTGTCTCATTTTAGCTATCTTGGCTGGTGAGAAGTTCTTCGTGTAGAATTTGTGAGCCAGATCGTTCCAAGTAGTAATGCTTGTAATAGGAAGCGAATCCAACCATTCAAGTGCTTTGTCCCGCAAGGTGTGTGGACAAAGCCTTAGCCTAATAGTATCGTTCGAGATTCCTTGATATCTAAAGTGTTGACACATTTCCAAGAATCGAGATATGAGTGTATGTGGATTTTCTTCAGCTCTGCCATAAAATTGATGCTTATTCTGGAACAGCTGTATCACATTCGTCTTCAATTGAAAATTGGGTTGCCCAAACGTGGATACACAATGCTGGACTAGTTTTGAATCACTTGAGGAGTCAAGAAATCGCCCAAAATCTCATTTCCTTCGTTTACTGCCTCTCCTTCATTTGCTGGGATAATAGGACTGTTCAGTTCGTTAGCCATTTGCAATTTTGCTTCTCGGTTCTCTCTTTGAGTTAATGAAAAGTGCGCTCAATTTCAGAATCGGCTGGAATCAATTCTCCTCGAGTCAATCTTAGCATATAAATCTGAGAGAAAAACAAGAGTAGCACTTAGACACTAAAGAGATAGATCGAATTCAAAAACAAAACAACGACAAAATAAACTAAAAGAGAAACTAAAATTCAAGTTCAAATTAGTGCCTAAAAAAATAAGATCAAACTAAACTCAATCCTTGACAACGTCGCCAAAAACTTATTCACAAAATTATTCTTTTAATTTGTATCCGCAAGTATACGGTTCGCAACAAGTAATAAAGTGGATTTTTAAAGTCCAAATATCGTCCCACAGAGATTGATTAGTACAATTGTATTTATCTCGGCCTTAACCGAATCCAAATGATTAATTATGAGTTTTTATCCTAAGAAATCCTAAATATAAGTTAAAGTACAATATTATGAATTGGATGTTATGACATGCAAAACAACTTTTAAATTAACTAAAATGCAATTTGATGTTTGGGACTTAGGTTAAATATATTCAATGAATGTGAGATATACTAGAATCACGAATTCCAAAGTAATGTTTAATTTAACCTTAATTCCACACTTTGATAACACGATGACATTTTGAAGAATCGATACTCCTAAATCTATGCAACACTCTCTTTCGAGATGAATTGAACCTATTCTCATATACTACCAGCCTATATTTCTATGACGGATGCAAATATACGAGAATGCATGTAGTTTTGTGAGTACTTAGAGATTTACGCAAAGCATAATGGTATATTTCTATTTCCTATCGGACCCTACGATAATTTATACCTTGTTGAATTTATTTCTCTTTTTTCGAATGGATAAAACAAACCACCAAAACTCACACAATTACAGGCCCATAATCATGGAAGCAATTAAATGCATATAAATCATTCAAAACAATCAATACGTGTTTTAACGTCAAAATGCAGAACAAAGAATTAAATATCACATTACAAGGTTCATCGATCTCCTAGTATAGATTTTTCTAACCTAGCATGATAGGAAGAAGAACACAACAATAAAAATCAAGAAAAGATGTCACCCTATTGAAATTCTTGAAGTGAGACCTTCAATCTTGGATTGAATCTTCTTGTTTTCCTTCTTTCCTCTCCGAAAAAATCTTGCTGAATGTGTTATAATGCGTGTTATTTGTTTTTGGACGTCCCTAGAGCTTTAAAAGACTCCCTAAGATTTGTTTCCATAAGAATTTCAATCAAAAAAGGAAACCAGATTTTCTCGCCGCGATTGGCCTGGGCGACTCGGGCAGTCGCTTAGGCCAAGAATTTCTTGTTGATAATTAAAAAAATCATCTTGGGCAATCTCCCAGTATTTATAACTGGGCTGTCCCTAAGCAAAATTTCTTCTACATGTTGCATTTTAGCGTCTGAAGTCAATTTTTAATTCTTTCAAACCTCTTCTCTTGCATTTTCAACCTTTGACTTTTAATTGCATTCAATTGGACCCGCAATAGCTTTCATCTTAATTTTGTGGTCCGAATCAGCTATTGAAATGTTGCAACTTAGTCCTCATACTTTGGATTTTCTTCCTTTTTGGTTCTTTTTCGTTTCTTTTCTCTTGAATTCCACCACATTCATCAACATCGTCCTACGAAACATAATTATATAGAAAAAAGCCATAATTCAAACTCTTTGATCATAATTAAGTTATGTTTGTGAACTAAATAAGTGTGTAAAAACATTCTTATCATATCGCAAGGAAACTTAATTTTCTATCGAAGAGAGGACAATTTCGGTTGAAAAATTTTCTGTTAGTTACCCAAAGGCCAAAGGGCTTGAAAGAAGAGATGATGTAATCCTGGCCTTCCAAGGATGTCTCATCTCATTAATGTGTTTTAAGTCAAAGTAAGCCAGTACATTCATAGTCGTTGCTTTGCTTTAGCATTTTGTCTTTTTGTCAGGTACCATTTCTTTTTGGTGTAACAGCTTTTGAGAAAGCTGCTGGTCGTGTAATTCACTGGATATTTAGGAGAACAGGAAGACACCTTTTTCTTACAGATGATGATGAAGGGAAGCCTCCACTACTTAAACGCATGGTGGAAGATCATGAAGAATGTGAATTTATGTATGTTTCTTCTTTCCTGTTTGTCCATGTAAATCAGATTGGAAAGTCCAGGCATTTTCAAGATATGGAATACTAATATGAAAAAATATGACTTGGACCTGTTTAAAAATTGTTCAACGCATCTATGCAGGTCTGCTTTACGATCATTCCGACGGCGGGTGGCATACTCAAACGTTGGTTATGACCGTATCCAGAATTCACGGATCTTAATTTCTTTACTTTCTCTTTGGGCTAATTTGACTTTCTATCTTTATGCTTAGTAGAATTCTTCCTTGTCTTCTTAACGAAATGTTTCAGATATTGTGGGCTGGAGAACTTCATCAATTAGATGGAATAATGAATTGCCAAAGGTATTATTTTCATCATGATATTGTGATCACTCGTTAACATTTTTATGCAGTTGTGGGCAATTATTTTTCATTTCTTGTAGTGGGAGGATTCTGTAGATGAAAAATATCCTCATGTTGTCTATGAAGAGCACTGCAAGGCTCTAGATGTGAAGCAGCAGGAGTCTATTTCGACAGAGGATGATGGTTTAGATAAGCTTGAAGGTTTGTAACTTTATCTTTTTCCCTACAAAGCATGTTAAATATTGTTCAAGTTGCCTCTGCAAGTTTAACCTCATTTTCAAAATTATAAACATATAAATATGTTTATATATAGTCAAGAATAAAAAAAAATTGGTATGTTAGATGCAAGAAAGCGAGTTCGTAGTGTCAGAAGAATTATTATTGGATCATTATGTATAAACTGTAGTGATTTTCAGTTCAAACTTTATTTTGGGTGCCCATATCTTTTTATTTTTATTACTAATATTATTTTTTTCGTACAAAAAGTTCTTGATGGTTTTGGCCAGAGGAAATAAAATTGCACTGTGGACCACAGCGCTTTATGTAATTTTCATACTTGATTTTGTGAACTTAAGTCTAGTGTAGTTGACTATATAGCTGATTTATATCCCACCAGAGGTCTTTTCTCTCAATTTCCTCATTAAAGTCTTAGACCTTAGGAATATAGAGTTTAATCCCTTCAGCTAAGTGATCAACATGACATGCAATAGTCTATACGGCGAGCTGCTTGCTGCATGTATCTCGAAAATGAGACTATACCATCAAAGATAGCCTAGTGACTCCTATTGCAGCATAATGAATCCAATCTCAAATTACCAGAGTTTGACTTTTGTTTCAACAATTCCAAAAACACAATTTTATCCTATTAATAAATCCAACATTATTCCAGTATGTTTTATGGTTTATAGAAACCCTTGAGGTCCAACACCCCTTATTTATTTAAATCTCCTCATTTTTTTATTTCATACATCCTTTAGAAACCTTAGGTCCTAAGCTATTAGATCTGGGGATTTTTCTACCAATGTACCTTCAGTTCTACTCTCTACTTTCAATCCTTCTGTCTTCTATGTGTTGCTCAAACTCCAATGCTTTTCTGGTCTGGTTTGTGAACTTACATCTGTGAGAAAGGGTTTTCATTATTGTAATAAATTTGCTCTGTTTGTGCGGTGCAGAGGAACTGGTGACTGGCTTATCTAGTGTGCCATGGGAGAAAGTAGATGTCAGCTTCCACAGCTGCAGGCTCAGATTTGCTGCCCATAGTGTTATTCAGGTTTCTCTCTCTCTCAGGACTTGATAGTTGATTCACACAAATCATTATATCTTTTCTACACGTTAGTCAGCATCAAATTATAGAGCTTTCATAGCTCCTTACATGGGAGCTTTAGTGTTAGATTCTTTGCATTACATAGTTTGAAGTCTTAGCCTATATTCAGATTCACCCAAGGATCCTACTTCAAGAAATATCAGCAAGAAGAGAGTGATGGAAATAGGGATTAATAAAAATTACGAGGGGAGTAAAGATTTTTTGGGGAAAACTCCAAAATCACTGACTGTAAAAGACAAATATAAGTTAATCCTCACACCCAAGACTGCTTCCCTCTACTAGGTTTCTAATTATCACGCCAATACTAACTTCAGTTACAAGTAGGTTGGGGATTCTCAATATTTCAACATTTTTCTCTGCACTTGAAAATATGAAGCTGACTATTGGTGGTGCCCAACTGTCAAGCAGGTTAAAGATCAATACATGCATTCAGAAGGTGCAGATGTTATACAACACATGATAGATCATTTTCTTTTATAGGAGCTCCAATATTCTGAATCATGTCTGTTCCTGGCCTAGATTGTATGATGTAAGTTTATGGTAATGCTACAATGTGGAAGTGGGCTAACTCTTATTTTAACCTAGACTCTTTGAATAAGGCGATGTTGTGTTGTGCACAGATTGCAAAGATGGAGAAGCAAGATGATTTATGGGTTTCGTTGATTCAGGTTTGCACGTTCTGATGTACGAGTAGAGGTCAATTTCGTCTAAACTACGATTATGGAATTATCATGGTGAAATTTGTTTATTCATTGCTTAAGCTGTAAATGAAACACTCTGGATTACTTAATCCATTAATGGATTGTTACTATCGTCATCGTCAGAGCCGGTCCTGTGGCCAGACAAATGAGGCCTGTGCCTTAGACCCAAGACCATAGGGGTCTATTTTGGCCCAAAAGAATTATTATTTTTTTTATTTTTAATATTAGAAGAAGGAAAAGGAAAATGGGTTTTTCATTAATTGTGAGATTATTGAGATATTTGTTTGTTGTTCTAATATTAAGTTTTAATTTGGCAATATATTGCATAATAAATCGTTGAAATTTGTATTTACTTTGATTTGGGGGGCCTAATTTTTAGACTTTGCCTCGAGCCCCGACAAATACAGAATCGGCCTTGGTCATCGTCATTGTCATGGCCAGTTTCTAAGATTAATTTGGACATTTCATGCAATCATATGAGCTTGCTTGCTTATATGTCATATAAAAAGCTATAAAAGTGCATCAGCATAGCGGTTAAACCCTGACTTTTGTGTTTCTTTTGGCAATTGAAATACGGTAAAAGATGCACAAAAAGCATATCAAACACTCCGTCAAATTTGTCAATTTTCTGGGTTATATATATATACACACATACAATTTTTATGTTCAGATTTTTATGTAATCCCTAATGTACAAATTTTATGTTCGACTAAATTGTACAATTCTGTCAATTTTTATGTACATAAAATGATGCGGAGAGAAAATATTAGATAAAAAAGTTTACAGCGTTTTAAACTGTCAAATAATAAATTGACATATGATATTATGTAATCCATTATGTAAAACGTAAAGTTCATCCTTCAAATAATCTCTAAAACTAGAGGTAACCTCTAAGATTTGGTACAAATCTCCGAGATACCGTTCAACCCTTTCTTTTCCTAGGCAGAAAAAAAAAAACCAAGAATTTGAAGTATTAAAAATTCTCCTTCTCAATTTAAAATTTATAAAAATTTCTGGTTTCAAAATGATCAAGAGAACTCTGTCAAGTTTTATATCCAATATATGTCCAATTTTTGAACAAAATAACAATTTTCAAAATATAACCAAATCTACTATTTTGAAAAGTTTTATATTTCAATCTAATAAAATATAAAATTTCCATTTATATTATGAAAAAAAAATAATAATAATAAATTTTTAGGAGCATGTTTGAGACACATTTTTTCAAAAAAATACGTTCTCAAACAATGATTTGATATTATTTTAACCACACATTTTTCAATAAAATAATATTATACACAAATCTAAAATTTTTCTTTATTTTTTAACCACATATTTTCCATTAATACACTATTCAAAAATTCATTTTAAGAAAAATAATGTGGCTCAAACAAAGGCTAGGGTTTATATCTAATTTCATTTCAAATTATCGTTGTGTCATTCTTAAATCATTAGATTAAGTCATTCTGGTGAAAAATTCTGTCCATCCTCTCTGATTCTGTGAATATCAATCCATTTTATGGTTCAACTTAATTTGATTCTATAATTATTATGTGATTTCTCATCTTAATTAATTAGAGGAGAACTAATCTTTGATTTTACTAATTATTTCCATATTGGCGGTAATATTCAAATCTCATTTCTCTCCATCCACAGCACATACTTTCAAAACTTGACGTGTCTCTACACAAACACCTCTTCATTACATGCAACCCTTGCATGTCAAGCTCTCCACCACGTGACGTTCCTCTTCAACACGTACCCCTCTTCCTTTCCTATATAATCCAGCATTCGATTCAATTATTTTTCATCAATTTACACCTTTTGTTTAATACTTTTTACTTATTTTGCATAATTCAGGTTTGCAGAAATGTCTGAGCAGTCCTACGACAAGCAGCAGCCGCGGTCCCATCAGATGGTGAAAGCTGCCACCGCCGCCACTGCCGGTGGTTCTCTCCTAGTCCTCTCCGGCTTAACTCTGGCCGGAACTGTGATTGCTCTCACTCTAGCCACTCCTTTGCTTGTCATTTTCAGTCCGGTGCTGGTTCCGGCTGCGTTAGCCATTTTCTTGATATGCTCGGGTTTCCTTGCTTCTGGAGGATTTGGGGTGGCTGCCGTTAGTGTTCTGTCGTGGATTTATCGATATGTTACCGGGAAACACCCTCCCGGGGCGGATCAGTTGGATTATGCGAAGACGAAGCTGGGTGCTAAGGCTCGGGAGATGAAGGAGAGGGTCGAGCAGTGAGCAGTTTGGGCAGCATAATGTCAGCGGTTCACAAGCTTCTCGAGCTTGTAGAATCTTGGGTTTAGAGAAATTAATAATTGGTTTTGTTAATTTTGTGTCTTGAATATTTATATGTTCTTAAATTTTTTTCTTCTCTCTCTCTCTCTCTCCTTTGGGTGACTTTTCTCTACTGTACTTCGTGCTTGTACGAAAAATTGAATAAATCTTGAATTTAGCGTCGAAAACTAAGCTCCTAGTCTATTTTCTCTCAATTATTATTTTTTCACTATACTTTTGAGGCTGATTTGATATTTGATTTTAGTCACATTTTGGTACTTGCAATTGTGAAAAAGGGTTAGTTTTTGAGAGGATAAAGCTGTTTGGACAGGATCAATCGACACTCCCTCCGCCTCTTCAATACGGGGTGCCAATTAGGCACCTTGTCTCGTCGGCCCTATCCATTTAGCAAAACCCTTTTTCAGATTCTACCCAACCTTACTGCCCTATTTGATAGAGAGTAAAATAAGATTTTTAGCAGATTTTATTTAAAGTTATATAATTGTATTCTAATTAGATCTTTAAATAGGACCAAACCCCTTAAATGAGACCCGTCAAGAGTTGATGCATCTTATTTCGTCAAAACAGGGATTTATAATTTTTAAAATTGAAAAAATTTAGTAGATATAATTGTTTGATTTTTCTACTTGAAATAATGATATTTCAATTATTATTATAATTTGAAGGAGGCGAAAATTTTAAATGTTACTCAAAAGTTATTGACAACAATTGATTAATATTTTTGTTATTTTTTGGGTCAAAATTTAAACAATGTCATTCATTATCAGCATGGTTAGTAATAAAATATTGTAACTTCCAAAAATATAGTTTCACTCTCCATTTAATTATAAATGTATTTCAAGTTTATTCTTCATTTACTTACAAACTATTTTTTAGCTGGCATTGAAGCAGTCAAATTATATTTAGTCATTTATCAATGGAACTCATTTTAAATAGTAAGAAAATTAAAGAGTCTCTAGAATCAAATTCATTGATTAACAAGAAAATTAACTAAGCAATGGAAAGTGTAGGCACCAATGGGTACTGGGACCAAGTGAGAATCAAGATGATAAAATATATGTTTGAAAATTAATATAATATAACTGAAAATAAGTTTGAGGAAAAAAATTGAATGCCGAACAGGACTTAATAAGATTGGATAAGTATACTTGAAGATTGCTCGGGTCACTATTAAAAAAGATTAGCACATCACTGAAATAAGTAATACAATGTATACGAAGGTGAACTTCACAAAATAGTCCTGAGCCAAAAATTAGCCCCCGTTTGGTAGCAATTTTTCATCCTAAAAAATTATTTTTTTGATCGTTATTTTATTATTTCAACCGTCATTTTTGACTTCTTCGCTCACAGGTGGGACTCATTTTTTTCTCTAACGGTCAAAAAATCAATTTTCATAATCACTACCGAATAGGTCAAAGTACCATTTTCTTAGAGGGCGTTTGGTGAGAATTAAAATTAGATTTTTTAGTAGATTGTTATAAAAGTTTTTGAAATTAATAGAAGCCTTTGAAATATATGATTGAAAAGTCGTGGAATCCAAGAAACATGTATTTAATATTGATTGTTTAATTTTAATTCAGATTAAAATCAGATTTTAATTTGAACCAAACAAGCTCTATTCCAATTTGATATGCAACGTGTATAAATTATTATTATTGTTAACAATGTCATTCATTATCAGAAGGGTTAGTAATAAAATATTGTAACTTCCAAAAATTGAATATAGTTTAAACTTTTTCACTATCCCTTTAATTAGAAGCCCTCGTTTGGCCCCCATTATTTGGATTTATAATGAGAGAAAAGTGTTTTTTTTGAAAAATGATGGTTGTAAAAGAATGAATTTTTTTTGATTTGCGTATAATATTATTTTATTGAAAATTGTGTGGTTGAAAATAAGAGATGAAAAAATTTAAATTAAATTGATGAGTTTTAATGGGGACCAAACTAGGGCTAAATTGTATTGCATGTTAGTTTGATGCCCTTTTCGAGTAGTATTTTGCAAATCGACATTATGAATTGAAGTTCGATTATTCTCATGTTACAATTTGAAACGATTATCTAAGGTTCCATAATCATATATGATTTCACAAATTGTATACTCGATAGTTCGGGTATAGTAAAATACAATTCGTGATATGACAAAAAAACATGTCGTTCACAATCAGAACATAAAGTCTCCGCTTTATGTTGATAAAATTGCATTGTTCTTATTAAGATTTGTCTAGATTTTGGAATAAGAACAATAATGTGTTTTGGTGCACATTGAAGAGGACCTCGTTGACAGCTCATTTGTGACAATTCGAAATGAGACTTTACTTGATTATCAAACAAGTCACCTAACTCTTGAACGAGTGATGTACTTTTGATTGTGAGTTCATGTTCTTTGAGGCACAACGAGTGAATCTTAATTAGAAGATTGATCTCGATGTTTTGGAAATCATGTCGAAACAATTAGAGATCATATACTTGCGATAGTTGAATCCATTAATTATCGAGATGAGATGATCGTCACTCTTAAGGTATTTTCTATAGGCAAATTGAACCTAAGCTTAGTAGTCCGATGATGAAATTGTTGGGCTTTATATTATAATTTAATCACAATGAATTCGTCTTATGAAAATGGAACTTAGAGGGCAATACATGTTGAAGATCAAAACGATCATTTTGCCGTTTTAACATATTGATGGTCAAATGGGGGTTAACTTCTGGAATGATAATTGGAGGATATTTTTATCGGATTATAATTTGCTTCTATAACTATTACTTGACTTGAGAGTGCTATCTAATTTTTTTGGTAGAATGAGTCGGGATTAATAGATGTATCTTAATTGGTCAAGAGTTGACCCAATTAGAAATATCTATTAGAACTTGAGTCATGTGAGTCCAGTTAGGTCTCTCTTTTGGCTCCAATAAATGTGTGTAACTTAATTGATCTATTACAATAAAGTCTAAAAAAATTTGTGCAGTTTTCAAACCCTAATAAGTATTATAAATATGTCTTTTATGGGTACATTTTCTTATGATTTTAGGGTTAGCCACATTTCGTTTGCCAAAAGGGGGAAGGCACCTAAGGAGCACAAAGAATGAGATTTAAGGGAGGAAGTATTTGGCTAGACCATTAAAGGTTTCTACAAGGTTATCCTCTTCCCTTTATGTGTGAGGATTTAAAAACATTCAATGATCTCAATGCGATCTAAGATCCTTTATTCATTTGGTTTAATCTTCAAAGAAAAATTAATTTCCTATTGTGATGATTAAATCAAATACCCAACATTGCCTTTGCATAAATATATTTGAAGTTTATTCTTCATTTACATACAAATTAAATTGTCATTTATCAATGGAACTCATTTAAATAGTAAAAAAATTAACAAGTCTCTACATTCAAATTCATTGATTAACAAGAGAATGAACTAAGCAATGGACAGCGTAGGCACCAATGGGTACAACTAGAAGATGATAAATATATATGTTTAAAAAGTTAAAATAGTATGGTTGAAAATGAGTTGGAGGAAAAAATAAAAATTGAAGGTTGAGGCCCTTTTATTCTCCATTCATTCCTATTATTTTTGTTGGGTTTTGATACCTAATAAATTTTGAGCAACGATGTTACTTGTGGGAATTTTCAGTCGACATTGACGACTGAATTAAACATCAACACCTCAATTAAATGACTCAACTTGAAAATTATTTGGGGCCATTGGAAGCAACCTAATTTAATTAGATTTGCTCATAGCCCGTTCTATTTACTTCCTGGAGGCTTATATAGGTTTGGCCCATTATCCATCATATTCACTTGGCCCAATTGTTGCCTTGGTTCTAGCCTACTTATTTACCTAACCTATATGTATATATGGCTGCCTCATTATCACTTCAACTGTCTGTTTTATCTCTCCCTAAGTTGTGATTGCGGTTGTTGCTTTCTGCTCTCTTTATCGCCTTCATCTCTCATTTCTCGCCTTTGTGGTTGCTATAAAACACCCATTTATTGTGGCCTTTGTGGTTACAAACTGGAGCAACCGAAGTGTGGGATAATAATAGTGGTATTAGGTCATGATTTGAGGTGTTTGATAAGGTTAATATTGGTAGACTGAGCCTGAATTCCACAATTGAAGATCTATTATGCTACAATTGGTATCAGAGCACGTTGGCGGTGAAATTTCGACTAAAATTTGACCAGAATCGAAGCAGAAACTGTCTAGATCAAAATTGTGCAAAAACTCTCAAAAATTGAACCTCCAGCTTTGATTTTCGGCCAATCTAGACGTCATTTGATGAAACAGAGATTGGATTCTTGATTTGCAGGTGGAGGCGATACTGGGTGGCTAGCATGTCTAGGTGATAGTCATTGGCGACGATGACGTGTGGAGATTTTGACGGGGTGCGTGTAGGCTCGATTCTCAAGGTGATTTTTTAGACAGAATCTTTCTGATGTGATTTGTAACGATTTTGTGTTGTTTGTTTTCTATTTCAGGTTATACGGGGAAATTTTGATGGTTTTGCCCTGCAGATTGTGGTTCAATTTTTACTCGATTGGTTGTTGCACTTACTGGAGACTTTAGAACGAATAGTGGTGGTCATAAAGTGATAAATTTGCATCTCTCGTAATTTACGGACTTAGATTTGTTTGCTTTGGTATATTGGTTTATTCCAATTTAAATTTCAATATTGGCGTGTCATCGTATAGGGTGACATTAAGATTGGGGTTATAGTGAAGGCGTAACCACTACTTGTGCTAAAAATTTAGGAATTACTTGCTCTACTTGAAGTGCTGGATTTAACTGCAATTTAATAATTGTTTCTATGTTTAATTGTCTGCATTACGTGAGAATTTGAATTTTTGTTGACATACGTGTTGTGTTGGTTATCTTGTTAAAACACTTGAACTTGACATGTTGGAACAATCCCTTGATCTAAGATAGCGAATCTTACGAAACCCTAAAAATTTAGAACAGTGTATACTGCGATCTTAGGATTACTTTGTGTGACCTATTTGTGCATTTGATGGTTCTGTTTTCTCAAAATGTCTTCACACTTCGAAGTTGGTATTTTCAATGAGAAAATGAGATTTTTCAATTTGGCAATAAAAGATTAATAAAATTTTGGCTCAACAAAAAGTTTCAAAAGCCATAAATGGCAAATTTTCTGGAAATTTAACAGAAGCATA